GCCTTCTGTCAGTGTCCCCCCTGCCGATTCACCTCCAACCATCTCCTTTACAGCCAGCCGGGCTTGTCCTCCCTAATGGCTGCTCCACTGACTTCAGCAAAAATTATATAGCTCATATGGGAAGGCCTCTGGTGCCTGAGGAAACTCCTTTCATCTATCAAGGAGAAAGTGAGAGCTATCAATTGCATGATGACAAGGAGGGTTTACTCAACGAGGCTTACTCTCTGCAGGGAGCAAGAGCAAGAGGCTTACTCGTCTGGTCAGGTAGCTGCGTCGGGTCAGGTGTTTGCTGCAGCGTCCAGGTCTGGTCCTGAGTCTGCCCCCTGTTCGTGTCGCCTCCTGTCTCACGAGACTCTCCTCTGGCACCACCGCCTTGGTCACCCCTCCCTGCTTCGTCTCCGAGGCATGGCCTCCCGTGTCCTTGTCTCTGGTCTTCCCCGGTCCCTCCCTCCCCTTCCTCCGGGGCCTGGCCCTACCTGCGTCCCCTGTGTCGAGGGGCGGCAGCGGGCTGCCCCTCACTCCTCCCAGTTTCCTCCGACAGAGGCCCCGCTGCAGACGCTTCACATGGACGTGTGGGGCCCGGCCCGCGTCCGTGGACAGGGTCACGAGCGCTACTTCCTGCTGGTGGTTGACGACTACTCGCGTTACACCACAGTCTTCCCCTTGCGCAGCAAGGGTGATGTCACTGAGGTGTTGATCGACTGGATCCGCGCAGCTCGTCTCCAGCTCAGGCAGAGCTTCGGCTCGGACTTTCCTGTTCTGCGTCTGCACTCTGACAGAGGTGGAGAGTTCTCCTCTGGCCTTCTACGAGCCTACTGTCGTGCACGAGGCATCCGCCAGACCTTCACGCTTCCGGACTCTCCACAGCAAAATGGGATTGCTGAGCGCCGCATTGGCATTGTCATGGACGTCGCCCGTACGTCCATGATGCATGCGGCTGCCCCCCATTTTCTGTGGCCGTTTGCGGTTCGGTACGCGGCGCATCAGATCAACCTTCACCCCAGGGTCTCCATGCCGGAGACCTCCCCAGCCTTGCTGTGGACGGGGAAGGTTGGCGATGCGTCTGTGTTCCGTGTCTGGGGATCTCGGGCGTTTGTCCGCGACTTGTCTGCGGACAAGCTGTCCCCTCGTGCTGCTCCTTGCGTCTTCCTTGGCTTCCCCACTGACGCGCCAGGGTGGCAGTTCTACCACCCCACCTCTCGCCGTGTTCTGTCCTCCCAGGACGTCACGTTTGACGAGTCGGTCCCCTACTACCGCCTCTTCCCCTACCGCACTCCGTCCCTCCCCCCGCCACCGCTCTTCCTTGTACCAGGTCCCCCCCCGGTAGACCCCCTCCCCCCTCAGGGTCCTGCCCCTTCAGGTGTGTCCCAGGTAGACGCAGTCGAGCCTGTCGAGGTTACTGGTGACTCTGGTGCTGCTGAGGGTGCTGAGCCTGGGGGTGCTGACTCTGGGGGTGCTGAGCGTGTGGGTGCTACGCCTGGGGGTGCTGAGGCTGAGGGTGCTACTACTGGGGGTCCTGAGCCTGGGGGTGCTGAGAATGGGGGTGCTACTGCTGGGGGTGCTGAGCCTGGGGGTGCTGAGCCTGTGGGTGCTACGCCTGGGGGTGCTGAGCCTGGGGGTGCCACGCCTGGAGGTGCTGAGCTTGGGGGTGCGGAGCCTGAGGGAGCTGGGCCTGCTCGTGTGGCGTCTGGCGGTGCTGAGCCTGGAGGTTCTCCGGGTGCTTCGTCTCGGCGGGAGCCACTCTCTCCACAGGAGCTGCGCGAGTGGTTTGCCCGGCGCTGGAGGCGTGCTGCTGGAGCTGGAGGTTCTTCGGCTGCTGAGGGTGCTGGTGCCGCGGGTCCCGGAGGTGCTCGTCCTGGGAGTACTGGAGCTGCTGGGCCTGCGGGTACGACTGGAGCTGGAGCTGCTGAGGGTGTTGGCGCTGAGGCTACTGCTGCCGGTCCTGGAGGCGGTCCTGCTGGGGGTGCTACTGGTGCTGCTGGAGGTACTGGAGCTGGAGGTGCTGCTGGCGCTGGTGCTGCCGCTGGGGGTACTGGTGCTGTCCCTGCTGTGTCTGGAGTCGCCGCGCGGCCTCGGCCGTACTTCGTTCCGCTCCTTCAGCAGGTTCTTGGTCTCCCGCCTTCTACTGGTCCTCCTCCTCCCTTAGAGTGTCCACAGCCTGTCCCGTCCCAGTTACAGTTACAGCCGGCCTCCACACTGCCCGCTCCTTCTCCCTACACTGGTCCTACTGGAGGTCTGGCCGAGCGTCGTGAGCCTGCGTCTCGCCCTGCGTCGCCTGTCCGTCTTGCTCGCACTAGTGGCCGTGGTTCGCGTCAGCGTCCTCCTCCTGTCCCTGGCACGCACCGGATGTCTCTGCGTCCGTCCACTGCTCCTCTGCGTGCCCCTTTGCCTTCTCCTCCTGAGTCCTCTCTTCCTGCTCTTCCCGACCCGGAGTCGGACTCTCTTCGTGCTGCCAGTCCTACTGTCACGCGTCTCCTGGCTACTGTCGTCACTGAGCCTTCCTTTGAGTCCACTGCTGCGTCTGCCCTAGTTGCTGAGCTCGTCGACTTTGCTGCTCGCTGTCGTCTAGACTACGCTGCTAGTCTTGTCGTTGAGTCTGAGTCTGTCTGTCCTCCGTCCGTCGGGGGTGAGTGTGCCCTTGGCACGGACGTCCTTGAGGACAGGCAGGAGGAGTTCCAGTGTTTGGCTGCTGCTTCACCTCATCTCGTGTCCGTACTGCTTACCCCTGAGGGAGACCCGGATGCACTTGACATCCCGACTCCGCGCTCTTACGCGGAGGCGATAGAGGGTCCCTACTCCTCTCAGTGGCAGGCAGCTATGGACGCAGAGATGGCTTCCTGGAAGTCCACAGGCACCTACGTTGACGAGGTTCCCCCGCCTGGGGCGAACATCGTCAGTGGCATGTGGATTTTCAGGGTGAAGCGGCCGCCGGGCTCTCCGCCTGTCTTCAAGGCGCGTTACGTGGCTCGTGGCTTCAGTCAGCGGCAGGGAGTTGACTACTTTCAGACCTTCTCTCCCACCCCGAAGATGACCACTCTTCGGGTACTGCTGCACATAGCTGCTCACCGCGACTACGAGCTGCACTCTTTTGACTTCAGCACTGCTTTCTTGCAGGGCAGCCTGCACGAGGAGATCTGGCTGCGTCGCCCACCTGGCTTCACTGGGTCTTTTCCTCCTGGCACCCAGTGGAGCCTCCGGCGGCCAGTCTACGGTCTCCGCCAGGCACCGCGTGAGTGGCACGACACACTGAGGACTACACTTGCGGCTCTTGGGTTTGCTCCCTCTACTGCCGACCCGTCGCTGTTTCTGCGCAACGACACTTCTTTGCCGCCGTTCTACATCCTCGTGTACGTCGACGACTTGGTCTTCGCCACAGCTGACACTGCTGGACTCGCCCACGTGAAGTCCGAGCTGCAGAAGAGACACACGTGCACAGACCTGGGTGAACTGCGCAGCTACCTTGGCTTGCAGATCACCCGGGACAGAGCACGCCGCACCATTACCCTGACTCAGTCACACATGGTGCAGCAGGTCCTTCAGCGCTTCGGCTTCACGTACTCCTCGCCTCAGGCCACTCCTCTGCCTACTCGCCACTCGCTCTCAGCTCTGCCTTCGGATGAGTCCGTAGAGTCGAGTGGCCCGTACCCAGAGCTTGTTGGCTGCCTCATGTACCTGATGACCTGCACACGACCTGACCTTGCATACCCTCTTAGCATTCTCGCACGCTATGTTGCTCCTGGGAGACACAGACCGGAGCACATGGCTGCAGCGAAGAGGGTGTTGCGCTACTTGTGCAGTACGTCGGGCATGGGGCTTGTGCTTGGAGGGCAGAGTCCAGTGGTCCTCACTGGGCACGCAGACGCTTCTTGGGCTGACGACCAGGCTACGCAGCGGTCGTCACAGGGTTACACCTTCAGCCTTGGTTCCGGCTCTGTTTCGTGGCGGGCTACCCGCTCGTCTTCTGTTCTCGGCTCCAGTTGTGAGGCTGAGATCTACGCCGGGGCCATGGCTGCACAGGAGCTTCGCTGGCTCACCTACCTGCTGACTGACCTCGGAGAGCCGCCTCGTTCTCCTCCAGTGCTGTACGTAGACAACAAGGCCATGCTGGCCTTGTGTCGAGAGCAGAGACTGGAGCACAGAACGAAGCATATTGCTCTCCGCTACTTCCTTGCTCGTGAGCTACAGCAGCGTGGTCAGCTACGGCTTGCGTACGTGGCCTCTGAGGCCAACACTGCTGATATCTTCACCAAGGCACTTGCGCCTTGTGATCATCAGCGCTTCTGTACTCAGCTGGGTCTTGTGCCTACCTTGCCTCACTTGCTCACCCCTTGACCTTGTTTGTACTGTTGCATATATATTTACACCTGCTCTTGCTTGTCTAGCCTTATATATACATGTAATCCTGCATGTGAACTGGCCTTGTGGCCTTGAACTTGTGCTCGGAATGTGTGGTGACTTTGTGATCCACCCTGAGCTTGCTTTGCTTTGCTTGACTGGTCTTGTGACCCCTTGTTCTCCCCCACTTTGCCTATGGGGGTGTGTCAGATTTATATGACATAGCTACTGTAGGCTATAGTGGGGTAGCACATATGGGGTACAGTTTTCTAGGGTTTGCTTTTGTACCCAACTTTCCCTTAGTCAATCCATTCCTCATTTCTTCACACCCCCACAATCTGCTTGGCAGACAATGCCTGGACATTACACGTTGCGCAATGCCACCTGGGCAAAGTCAATCTTTGTGCATGGATTTAGTGCCTGCTGTGGAGTACTACCTGACAGACAAAAAGATTCTCGTCATATTTTCTCTTATTTATTCAACTCGGCGAGTGGTTCTGGTACTGCCAGTACAGGCATTGCAGATGCAGTCCGCCTTTTTTCTTCGTTTTCTGAAGTCTAAAAACAAGGGTAATCGAATTCCCCGTTTAGACTGTCCGTTCGGAGTAACGCGGCTGGGTTAGGGTTCTTCATCGCCTCAGATCGACGAACGTTCTGCCGTGTAAATGGCACTGGAGTTGGCCGCACCGCCTTTGCACGAGCACTTGGCGAATCCTCCGAGTCGGAAAGCGGCTGGCCGTGAGCAAGAGTGGGGCGGCTGTGACTCACAGCTGTCACTCGGCCGGCAGGAGCTTAGGCCGCGCGGGTTGGCCTCCTCGGAGGAGGTGGCGGCGAAGGTGGTGGCCTCTGATGGGCACAGCTGGCTCAAGTACGGTCGGAAGAAAGTCCGCCATTCGGGTGCCACCAGGTCAGTTTTTCATTGGCTTGCCGCGTTGACCCTCATTGACTTTCGTTGACTCGTGTTGACTCTGTGCACTTCCGCTGAATCTGTTGACTCTGTATCATGCTCTCACTATGCTGCTTTGCGGAATCCACCCTCTTGCCCCAGCAGGTGCTACAAAGTGCAATCTCTCTAAGGCAATCTGACTCTTTGTCTCTCTGTATGCCCTTACGCTGTGCGTCGGAATCCACCCTCTTACCCCAGCAGGTGCTACTACAAGTGCAGCATGTCTAAGGCCATCCCTCGCTGCCCCGCCAGGAAGACCGTTGACATCAAAAGCCTCGACTCTATTCATGTCACCTACCGATGCCGCATCCATAACCACCCCGTAGTTCCCAACCGCCGTTCACCCTACTACCACCCTAACGTTCCCGTTGGCGATACGAACTGCCGTGCCGACCACCATATCAACCTTACGGCTTCACAAGGTGTGGTTGGCCCTGTGGCACCTGGCACCGTTCGACCTGTTGCTTCTGGTGGGGAATTGAAGGAGCTCGTGCAATCTTTGCAGCATGAGAGCGTGGGAGTGATTGCTTCTGGCAGTGGGACAGACGCTGGTTGTGCTCCTGTTGCTGCTGGTGGTGGTGCTGGTGATGCTGCTGTTTGGCTTGCCGCTTCTTGTGGCGACTGGGAGGCCCTCGTGCCAGCCTTGCAGCGTGAGAGCGTGGGAGTGACTTCTGGCAATGGGTCCGACGCTGGTTGTGTTGCTGCTGCTGCTGGTGGTGCTGGTGATGCTGCTGTTCGAGCTGGTGGTGCAGGTGCTGCTGATGCTGCGGCTGGTGCTGGTGGTGGTGGTGGTGGTGGTGCTGCTGCTTCTGCTGCTGCTTCTGCTGCTGCTTCTGCTGCTGCTGCTGCTGCTGCTGCTGCTGCTGCTGCTGCTGCTGCTGCTGCTGCTGCTGCTGCTGCTGCTGCTGCTGTTGCTGCTGCTGCTGCTGCTGCTGCTGCTGCTGCTGCTGCTGCTGCTGCTGCTGCTGCTGCTGCTTCTGCTGCTGCTGCTGCTGCTGTTATTACTGCTTCTTCCGACGGTGGTGGTGCCGCTGATGCAGATTGGGCCGCCGATTTGACAAACGAGGTTTTCTCACTGCTGGGAGCAAGATCGCCTTTGGTTCAAGAGCTCCAAGAGCTTTTACAGCGGCGCAGTCTCACCTATGTGGGACTTCTATCAGATGGTGATGGTTGTGAGGAGATGGTGGTGGATGAGGAGGAGCAGACAGCAGCTTGTGTGAAAAACATTCCAAAGAATCCCTTACTCGTTATTCCTTGTGAAGGGCAAGAAACGTCGTTGCACCATTCCCTGAAGTCACCTCAGAAGGACGACCATCGTGCACACGGAGTGGGAGAGAAGTCAGAACGTTTCTTTAGGTTCCAAGTGCCGTTGTGTGAGGGGCATCACTCCTTTGGGGCGCCTCAAAAAGGGGACGGGAATGAGGAGCTGGAGCACGGATTTTCAGAAGCCGTGCTGCCAAGACCACTGAGGCCTGTTTTGGTTGCTGCTGTGACGGACGGCTGTGCTACTGTGACTGATGGCTGTGCTGCTGCGACTGACGGCTGTGCTGCTGTAACTGACGGCTGTGCTGCTGTGACTGACGGCTTTGATCCCGTTACTGATGGCTGTACTCCCGTTACTGATGGCTGTGCTGCTGTGACTGACATCTGTGCTACTAAGGCTGACAGCTGTGCTCCTGGGCAACTCACCCGTTCGGATGCGCTGCAGATTCTTTTTGAGTTGACGCATGATTCATCCTTGGCTAACAGCTGTTCTGCATCTGATGCTCTGGAGGTTCAAGCAGAGCGTGATGCGCTGTCACAGCAGCAGCAGCGGCAGCAGCAGCGGCAGCGGCAGACGCAGCAGCAACGGCAGCAGCGGCGGCAGCGGCAGCAGCAGCAGCAGCATCAGAAGAAGAACCAGCAGCAACCACCACCACCGAAGCAGCAGCAAATGCAACTCAAGCAGCAACAACATCATCAGTCACTCACTATCACAGCTTTGCTGCTGTCGATTGCCAAATCTGCCAAAGAGCGCCTTGCGACCCTAGACATTCTCAGGACCGTGCCTGCTGCTGTGCCTGCTGTTCTCTCCAACCCTAGCGTCAGCACCTCACAACCTCTAGCAAGTCAAGCCTCCATCGCCTTGTGCAATACTGCTGAAACGGGGACTCCTCAGTCGCTCGTACCTGGGCCTGTTCATCGGCATCAGAAGCGTCCTGCATCTTCCATGGATACACCTCCATATCCTCCTCCTCCTCATCCCCTTGCCTGTTCCCGTGCCTCTGCCCGTGCCTGTGCCTGTGGCCGTGCCTCACGGGTTCGGAGGGGAAATAAGCCTGACATGGCCTGTGCCTTGTGGGCGTGTGAGTGCAGCAGCGAGCCTGAGGAGCAGTATGCCACAGGCGCAGTTTGGACCGAGCCGGCTGTATGTGCCTGCAAGGGTGCTTGTGCCCGTGGATGTACCTCTGCCTCTGCCCATGGCTGCGCCTGTGGCTCTGCCTGCCAGCACAGGGAGGATGAGGCGCATCAGGAGCCTCGTACCTCCACCATTGTTGAGACACCCAGCATTGCGGTGCCGCCGAATATTATTGAGCTCCCAACCATCATTACCATGCCATCAGCTACATGGCTTTGTGACAAGGAAGGTTCCGCAACGCCGACAACACCCGTGTCACCCATTCCCGGGACCAAGATTGGTGAGCTGCCCACCATCGTTATGCCACCAGCCACATGGCTTTGTGATGTGGAAGGTTCCGCAACACCTACAACTCCCGTGTCACCCATTCCCACGACAAGAAAGAGCAGCATATGTTCTCACAAGCTAACCAGCATCTGTGGCGCGGGCTACAAGTCCTGCAGCACCAAGCCCTGCAGGACAGGTTGCAAGCCCTACAGCAAAAGCAATGTGAAGGCTGAAGTGACACGCCTTGAACAGCACGTCCTTCCCGTGCTTGCTCACCCTCACCCACCTGACAACGCAGCCAAACTCCAACACCGATTGGCTGCGAATAAAATGGCAAATGCATCAGTGCCTCGATCCTCCTCTGGTCAATTGCCACTATTTGGCGATAACCTAACTGGTGCAGCTCTCATGGTTGATGGGGGCGTGCTTACACGAGGTCCAGCAGCCATGACCACTATAAGCGATGCAGATACAACACAAGAAGCTTCAGCTGGGCAACAGGTTGAAAGTCCCGGACTGCCAGAGGCCTCGAATCGCATAACGCCACTTGAACCCACGCAAGCGCCCCTGCAGGCCATGCTGTGTGCAGGTCCCATGGTGAGGACATTCTTGAGCCGATGTGTTAAAGCCCGCCTACCCGTAGGCCCAGTGATTATAGTGGGCTCAGTTCCACGTGAAGTGTTTCGAATGCCAGCCCAGCAGGGAATGGTTGTGCCATCAGCCCGGCGGGGAATGGTTGGACCTGTGATTCCGGCAAAAACATTTGCATTCCTGGGAGGGGCCAGCACCGCCCGCGTTTCAGACTATGCAGCGGCTGACATGCGGCACGAACTTCAGTCTTGGCTCGATGGTGCTGCTTAGAAGGGCATAGTTTTTCGGAATTGAGGAGTGACCAGTAATTTCAGCATTGGTTTTCTGGGTGTTTCGGTGGTGTGTGCATTCATCATGTATATGGTTTGAATAGGATAATCTTGCTGGGACTGCTGTTGTTACTGTCTTGTACATAAAGGTCTAATCTAGATACCGTACACTGGGTACTTCGGATTTGCAGGCACACCAAATCTGGGACAGCAGTGCTCATAATTTGTGGCAGAAACTTGTTCGGGATTTCGGTTTTTGTTAATGTCACATTTGCACTGCCATACATGCCCATTGTATGGACCCCCAATTTCCAGCCCCTCACCTCGTAAGGTACCCCACTCTCATACCTATACTCCTTTGTGCCAGAATCTCGTCTGGCTCTTGTTTTTTGTGAGTGCCACATTTGCACTACCGTACGTGCCCAATATATGAGCCCCCACTTTACAGCAGGCCCCCAGAAGTCACAGAAATTTCTCTGATTTGCATGAAAAACTATGATATTTCTGATTTTTTTTTTTCCAGTGTGCTCTGAAAAAATCAGACTTTCTGTAAGTTTCATATTTGTTTGGGTTGCGAAGCAACCCTTTACGATCGATTTTGACAAATTATATTTTCATATTTATTTTTAATAAAACATGAAAATAGAATTCGTAAGCTACATTACTACTGTACTACCCTTCCCACTGTGCATATATTAAACGATTTTTTTTTCTTGTTGTAGTTATGTTCATATATGCTATACAGTTTGCATTATATCTTTTACTGTTTGATATTGTTGTGATAATTGCATGTAATAAATGTTACGAATATGAGTAATTGTAAGGAAAATCCCTTTTCCTTACCTCACATCCCTGCTCAGCGCGTACACCACTGTTCCCGCCAACAGCACCCCACAGTAATCCGTTACCACTCACGACACTCGCCTCGACATCATTCCTGCCTGTTCACGATGCGACCCAACCTCACGGTTCGGTTGGTAACCCGCGCTCCGGACCTCCGCCTCGACAGTTCCCAACCTCGGCACCAGGCCCGTCGCGCACCCCATTGACCACACGTTACCGTTACCACTGTAGCTTCGCTATATATTCTTTGCTCAATCCTTCGCCCATTGTATTTCTTGTCTCGATAGTGCAATCATCGCTCGCTCACTCAATTGCACTCGTAACACTTGGTTACCAGAGCCTACGATCTTCTCTCGGACCGCACCCACACCTTCGCTTCCCCACTATCTCAATTTTTTGGGGGGGTAGACGTCTCTCAGCGACCAAGCACCGCCGCTCGTAGTGCTCTCTCGTAAGCACGCACGGCCTCGACTGCTAACCCGTCGCTGTTTCTACGCACCAACACGTCGCTGCCGCCGTTCTACGTCCTCGTCTACATCGACGACCTGGTCTTTCCCACTTCTGACACAGAGGCACTGACCCTTGTGAAGTCGGAGCTGCAGAAGTGACACACTTGCACTGACTTGGGTGAACTGCGCAGCTATCTTTGCTTGTAGATCACCCGGGACAGAGCACGGTGCACCATCACCCTGATGTTAGAATGTGAGCGAATGAATGACTGAACTAGAAAGCAGGTGGGTACATATGGGAAACCTAAAAGTGTTGTACCCTGTAAGAACTACCCCACTACAGCCTAGACAGACTATAGCATATAAGTTTGACACACCCCCATAGGCAAAGTGGGGGAGAACAAGAGGTCACAAGACCAGTCAAGAAAAGGCAGAGCAAGCTCAGGGTGGATCACAAAGTCACCACGCAGTCTGAGCACAAGCAAATGGCCACAAGGCCAGTTCACATGTGGAGTTATATAAAGGAGAACAAACAATACAGTGAACACAACCTAGCAAGTGTAAGCATGCAGGTATATGTATAAAGAGTACAGTACAAGCACAGTAAAGAAGAAAGCAAGTGAGGTACAGTAGGTACAAGGCCTAACACAGTACAGAAACGCTGATGATCACAAGGCTGAAGTGCCTTGGTGAAAACATCAGCAGTGTTGGCCTGAGAGGCTACATAAGCAAGACGAAGCTGGCCACGCTGCTGCAACTCTCGAGCAAGGAAGTAGCGCAGAGCAATGTGCTTCGTTCTGTGCTCCAGTCTGTGCTCCTGACACAAGGCAAGCATGGCCTTGTTGTCGACGTACAGAATTGGAGGAGAACGAGGCGCCTCTCCCAAGTCGGTCAGCAGGTAGGTGAGCCAGCGTAGCTCCCTTGCAGCCATGGCCCCAGCGTAGATCTCAGCCTCACAACTGGAGCTAAGAACAGAAGAAGAGCGGGTAGACCGCCAAGAGACAGAACCAGAGCCAAGACTGAAGGTGTAACCCTGTGACGACCGCTGCGTAGCCAAGTCGTCAACCCAGAAGGCGTCAGCGTGACCAGTGAGGACAACTCGAGCCCGTCCTCCAAGCACGAGCCCCATGCCCGATGTACTGCACAAGTATCGCAACACCCTCTTCGCAGCATCCCAGTGCACCTTTCGGTGCCTACCGGGAGCCACGTAGCGAGCCAGAAGGCTGAGAGGGTATGCGAGGTCAGGTCGTGTGCAAGTCATCAGGTACATGAGGCAGCCCACTCTGGATACGGGCCACTCAACTCTACGGACTCGTCCGAAGGTGGAGCTGAGAGCGAGTGACCGGTAGGCAGAGGAGTGGACTGTGGCGAGGAGTACGTGAAGCCGAAGCGCTGAAGGACCTGTTGCACCATGTGTGACTGAGTCAAGGTAATGGTGCGCTGTGCTCTGTCCCGGGTGATCTGCAAGCCAAGATAGCTTGTGAGCTCACCCAGGTCTGTGCACGTGTGTCTCTTCTGCAGCTCGGAATTCACGTGGGCGAGTGCCTCAGTGTCAGCAGTAGCAAAGACGAGGTCGTCTACGTACACGAGAACGTAGAACGACGGCAGAGTAATAACAAAGAAGGGTCAGAAGTGGAAGTAGCAAAACCAAGAGCAGCAAGAGTCGTCCTGAGTGTGTCGTGCCACTCACGGGGTGCCTGGCAGAGACCGTAGACTGGCCGCCGGAGGCTCCACTGGGTACCAGCAGGAAACGACCCAGTGAAGCCAGGTGGGCGGCGCAGCCAGATCTTCTCGTGCAGGCTGCCCTATAGGAAGGCTGTGCTGAAGTCAAGCGAGTGGAGCTCGTAGTCACGGTGAGCAGCAACGTGCAGCAGTACCCGAAGAGTGGTCATCTTCGGGGTAGGGGAGAAGGCCTGAAAGAAGTCAACTCCCTGTCGCTGACTGAAGCCACGTGCAACGTAACGCACCTTGAAGGCAGGCGGAGAACCCGGCGGCCGCTTCACCCTGAAGATCCACATGCCATTGACGATGTTCGCCCCAGGTGGGGGAACCTCGTCTACGTAGGTGCCTGTGAACTTCCAGGAAGCCATCTCGGCGTCCATGGCTGCCTGCCACTGAGAGGAGTAGGGACCCTCTATCGCCTCTGCGTAAGAGCGCGGGGTCGGGATGTCTGGTGCATCCGGGTCTCCCTCAGGGGCAAGCAGCATGGACACGAGATGAGGTACAGTAGCGGCAAAGCACTCAAACTCCTCCTGTCTGTCCTCAAGAACGTCCGTGCCAAGAGCACACTCACCCCCGACGGACGGAGGACAGACACACGCAGACGCAGACTCAGCAACAAGACTAGTGGCGTAGTCTGGGCGACAGGCTGCAGCAAAGTCAACAAGCTCAGTAACAAGAGCAGACGCAGCAGTGGACTCAAACAAAGGGTTCGTGACAGCAGTGGCCAGAAAGCGTGTGACAGCTGGACTAGCAGCACGAAGGGAGTCAGACGCAGGGTCCGGACAGGCAGGAAGAGAGGACGCAGGAGTAGACGGCTGAGGGACACGCTGTGGAGCAGTGGAAGGACACAGAGTCATAGAGTGAGTGCCAGGGACAGGAGGAGGACGCGGACGCAAAACACGACCAGCGCGAACAGTACGGACAGGCGACGCAGGACGCGACTCAGGCTCACGACGCTCCGTAAGACCTCTAGTCGGTCCAGAGTAAGGAGAAGGACTTGGCAGTGGAGAGGCCAGCTGTAACTGCGACTGGGACTGGACAGGCGGTGGACTCAGGAAAGGAGGAGGAGGACCAGGAGAAGGCGGGGAACCAAGAAACTGCTGAAGGAGTGGAACGTAGTACGGCCGCGGCCGCGCAGCGCCTCCAGAAACAGCAGAGACAGAACCGGTACCCTCAGCCCCAGGGTCTCCAGTCCCAGCAGCACCTCTAGTCCCAGCAGCACCTCCAGCAGCTCCAGCAGCTCCAGCACCACCAGCACCTCCAGCAGCTCCAGCAGCTCCAGTACCAGCAGGACCTCCACCACCAGCAACACCTCCAGCAGCTCCACGAGCTCCAGCAGCTCCAGCACCAGCAGCACCTCCAGCAGCTCCTGCAGCTCCAGCACCAGCAACACCTCCAGTACCAGCAGCACCGCCAGCAGCTCCAGCAGCTCCAGCATCAGCAGCACCTCCAGCAGCTCCAGCAACTCCAGTACCAGCAGCACCTCCAGCACGAGCAGCAACTCCAACAGCTCCAGCAGCACCTCCAGCAGCTCCAGCAGCACCAGCACCAGTAGCACCTCCAGCAGCTCTAGCAGCACCTCCAGCAGCTCCAGCAACACCAGCACCAGCAGCACCTCGATAGCGCCGAGAGTACCACTCACGAAGCTGCTGTGGAGAGAGGGGCTCCCGCCGCGACGGGACACCTAGAGCACCTCCAGACTCAGTACGTGCAAGCTCAGCACCTCCAGACGCAGTACCCTCAGGTCCCACACGCCCAGGCTCAGCACCCCCAGGCTCAGCACGCCCAGACTCAGCACCCCCAGGCTCCACATGCTCAGGCTCAGCACCCCCAGTCCCCGCACCCCCAATCCCCGCACCCGCAGGCTCAGCACCCCTAGCAGCACCTGAGTCGACAGCTACCTCGACCCGCTCGGCAGGTCTACCTAGGACGCACCTGAGGGGGCAGGACCCTGGGGGGGGAGGGGGTCTACCGGGGGAGTACCTCGTGCTAGGAATAGCGACGGGGGGGGGGAGAGAGGCAGTGCGGTAGGGAAAGAGATGGTAGGAAGACACCGACTCGTCAAACGTGATGTCTTGAGAGGACAGAACACGACGCGAGGTGGGGTGGTAGAACTGCCACCCGGGTGCGTCAGGAGGGAAGCCAAGGAAGACACAGGGAACGGCACGGGAGGACAGCTTGTCCGCAAAATTATCGCGGACAAAAGCTCGAGATCCCCAGACACGGAACACAGACGCATCATCAACCTTCCCCGTCCACCTCAGAGTAGGTGTGGTCTCCGGTAAGGAGACACGAGGCTGAAGGTTGATCTGATGCGCAGCGTACTGAACTGCGAACGGCCACAGAAAATGGGGAGCAGCCGCATGGATCATGGACGTACGAGCGACGTCCATGACCATGCCAATGCGGCGCTCAGCAATCCCATTTTGCTGTGGAGAGGCCGGAAGCGTGAACGTATGGCGGATGCCCTCCGCACGACAGAAGGCCCTCAGGAGGTCGGAGGAAAACTCACCACCTCTGTCGGAGTGCAGACGCAGAACAGGAAGGTCCGAGCCGAAACTCTTGCTGAGCTGGCGATGAGCACCGCGGATCCAGTCGATCAACACCTCAGGAACCTCACCCTTGCTGCGCAAGGGAAAGACTATGGTGTAACGCGAGTAGTCGTCAACGACCAGCAGGAAGTAACGCTCGTGACCCTGTCCACGGACGCGGGCTTGGCCCCACACATCCATGTGAAGAGTCTGCAGAGGAGCCTCAGTCGGAGGGAACGTGGAGGAGTGAGGAGCGGCGCGCTGCCGGCCCTCGACACAAGGAACACAGGTAGGGGCAGGCCACGGAGGAAGGGGAGGGAGGGACCGGGGTAGACCCGAGACAAGGGTACGTGAGGCCATACCTCGAAGACGAGGCAAGGAGGGGTGACCAAGGCGGTGGTGCCAAAGAAGAGTCTCGTGCGACAGAGGACGACACGAGCAGGGGGCAGACCCAGGACTAGACCTGGACGCAGCAGCAAACACTTGACTGGATGCAGCTACCTGACTAGACGCAGAGACCGGAGGAGGCGCAGTAGTCAGTGTGTACAGACTCGACCCTGGCCGACGGGTGAAAGTGGCCAGGTGGCGGCCCGTCCGAGAGCAAGTGCAGTGGGTCACACGCTGACCTCCAGGGGCGAACTGGTCAACCCACGCATCCTGGAGGTCAGCTCCACTCACCAGGTTCGTAGAGAACGAGGGGAGGTGGAGTCCCGACAGCAAGCCCGACGGGGCCGCAGGACACGGTAGAACTGTGGAAGAGTGCGCAAGGACTGGGCTCCCAGAGGGGTCAGCAAGGGAGACTGCGACAGGCCGACTGAGTGGCGTGAGTGTGGTGCTGTCTCTAAAGAAAGAGCGCGAAGCACCAGAGTCAAGTGTGAAAGTGTGCAAGGCCTCAGTAGGTGCAGTACTAGAGAGAGCAGACTCACCAGCACCTGGAGCAGCAGACTCACCAGTACCTGGAGCAGCAGACGCACTAGCACCTAGAGCAGCAGCCGCAATGCCCGGGTCGGGCGGGACACTCAGGTAACAGTCACCCTCAGCACTATCAGTCAAAGCATACATGGCAGCAAGGATAGCATCGAAATCAAGATAGGCACATTCTGCAGAAGCAGATCATGCCAGCGAGGGAGCTCAACAGCATCAGGAAACTGGGCACGCCAGGCGTCAGTCAAGCGACCGAAGCAGCGCTGAGTAGTGTGTGGCAGCCCACACACCTCCCCACGACGACTGCCGGTGCGAAGAACGTAAGTGCAGGGACCAGCACCAGCAGACCTCCCATGCCTAGCGTACCACTCACGAAGCTGCTGGGCCGACGGGGTCTCACGGGAGCGCAGCTGCTGCTGGCGCTGGCTACTACCAAAGCCTCCACGCCTACAGAAGCCCCCACTCCCGGTACCACCCCCACCTCCACCGCCACCCCCTCCGCCTCCTCCACCACCTCCACCGCCACCCCCGCCACCACCCTTGCTCCCCTTGCCCCTGCTGTTGTGGCGCCTTCCACTAGGGGCAGACGCAGCTCCGACCTCCTCAGTGCCAACGAGGTCGACAGCAGCAGCAGAAGCAACAGAGGGGAGAAGGGGGACAGGGGAACACCCCTCAAAGAAAGGGGTGCGACGGTCACCGCGAGAAGCACCTATAGCTAAGATATTCTTCTCAGCTGCAGCAAAGCGCTCCTCTAGCAGGTCGACAGTCAGCTCGGTGGGGCAAAGGGAGAGAAAGTGGTCCCTGACTGAAGAAAGGGAGTCAGGGAGACGGGTGACTAGGTAGTAAAGGGTGATGTACATGGGGGGGGGGGGTTCTTGGCACAGAACTCAGTGGGAAGAGCAGCACGGTAGCGGGCGTCACTAGTGCGGAGGTGAGCAACTAGGTCAGCGACTGTGTCAAAGGCGGCAAGGTCAGGGAAAAGGTACGGCAGCATGAGGCGGCTGAGGGCAGCAGTGGCAGGGGAGGAGTAGCGCGCAACTACAGCATCATACAAAGACTGAGCAGTCTTGTACTTGCCAAAATTCGCGCGCTCAGCAGGCGGCAGGTGACTACGAACAGCAAGACGAGCAACAGCGTCACGAGCGGTCCACTGCGAGCAAACCGTACTGTCAGCAGTGGCAGCAGGAGCAGTAGAGACACCGGACGTGTGATCGAAAAGGGATACCCCATCCCTAGAGTCACACTGAAGAAAGAGGTGCAGGTCGTCAACCCACACGTCAAAGTCAACTGCACGTCCCTCAGCATTAAAGGTGAGAACAGTAGGGCTAGCCATAGCAGCAGTAGAAGCAATAGTAGTAGCAGTAGCAGCAGTAGCAGTAGTAGCAGCAGAGGCAGTAGGGCAGTGCAGGGCAGTGCGGCTCAGTAGGGCGGCGCGGCTCAGTGGGCGGCGCGGCTCGGTGAGGCGGCGCGGCTCGGTGGGCGGCGCGGCTCGGTGGGGCGGCGCGGCTCGGCTGGGCGGCGCGGCTCGGCTGGGCGGCGCGGCTTGGCCACTGGCGGCGTGGCGCAGCAGGGCGGCGCGGGTGCTTACTAGTGGCGGGTGTAGGGCCGGGCCGTGATAGTAGGGGCCGCGCGAGTAGAGGTGGCGACGGCAGGGGGGGCCGCGACAGCAGGGGCCGCGCCAGTAGTGGCCGCGCCAGCAGGGGGCCGCGTCAGCAGGGGCCGCTCCGGCAGGGCTGGGCCGTGACAGCAGGGGCCGCGCCAGTAGGGGTGGCGACGGTAGGGGGCCGCGAGAGCAGGGGGCCGCGTCAGCAGTGGGGCCGCGTCAGCAGGGGTCGCGCCAGCAGGGGCCGCGCCAGCAGGGCCGGGCCGTGACAGCAGGGGCCGCGCCAGTAGGGGTGGCGATTGCAGGGGGCCGCGACAGCAAGGGGTCGCGCCAGCAGGGGCCGCGCCAGCAGGGGGCCGCGTCAGCAGGGGTCGCGCCAGCAGGGGCCGCGCCAGCAGGGGGCCGCGTCAGCAGGGGCCACGCCAGCAGGGGGGCGCGTCAGCAGGGGGCCGCGACGGAATAGGGCCGCGACGGGCAGTAGGGGCTGCTACGGACAGTAGGGGTCGCGTCCAGCAGGGGCCGGGACGGGCGACAAAGGGGCCACGATGGGCAGGGCGCGATGCGCGCTTCGGGCAGGGCGCGATGCGCGCTTCGGGCAGGGCAGGAAAAAAAAAATTGTGATGGGCCCTAAAAAAAACCGTTCCCACTAGGGAACCTGCTCAGAATACCATGTTAGAATGTGAGCGACTGTATGACTGAACTAGAAAGCAGGTGGGTACATATGGGAAACCTAAAAGTTTTGTACCCTATAAGAACTACCCCACTACAGCCTAGACAGACTATAGCATATAAGTTTGACACTTGACTCAGTCACATATGGTGCACCAGGTCCTTCAGCGCTTGGGCTTCCAGTTCTCCTCGCCACAGCCCACTCCTCTGTCTACCGGCCACTCGCTCTCAGCTCCACCTTCGGACGAGTCCGTAGAGCCGAGTGGTCCGTACCCAGAGCTTGTGGGTTGCCTCATGTACCTGATGACCTGCACACGACCTGACCTCGCGTACCCTCTCAGCCTCCTGGCTCGCTACGTGGCTCCCGGTAGGCACCGAAAGGTGCGCTGGGATTTTGCGAAGACGGTACTGCGTTACTTGTGCAGTACGTCGGGCATGGGGCTCGTGCTTGGAGGATGGGTTCCAGTTGTCCTCACTGGTCACGCAGACGCTTCTTGGGTTGATGACTTGGCTACGCAGCAGTCGTCACAGAGTTACACCTTCAGCCTTGGTTCCGGCTCTGTTTCCTGGCAGTCTACTCGCTCGTCTTCAATCTCAGTTCCAGTAGTGATGCTGAGATCTGCGCAGGGGCCATGGCTGCACAGGAGTTACGCTGGCTCACCTACCTGCTGACTGACTTGGGAGAGCAGCCTCGTTCGCCTCTAGTTCTGTACGTCGACAACAAAGCCATGATTTCCTTGTGTCAGGAGCACAGACTGGAGCACCGAACGAATCACATCGCTCTGCGATACTTCCTTGCTCGAAAGTTGCAGCATCGTGGTCAGATTCGTCTTGCGTACGTGGCCACTAGGGCCAACACTGCTGATATATTCACCAAGGCACTTCACTCTGGTGATCATCAGTGCTTCTCTACTGTTTTAGGCCTTGTGCCTACTTTGCCTCACTTGCTCACTGCGTGAATTTACTTTTATTGTGATATATATATATTCCTGCATGCTTACACTTGCTAGGGTATGATCACTGTACTGTTCGTTCTCTTTTAGATAACTCTGCATTTGAACCTGTCTTGTAGCCATTTGCTTGTTCTCGGAATGTGTGGTCACTTCGTGATCCACCCCGAGCTTGCTTTGCTTTTCTTGACTGGTCTCGTGACCACTTGTTCTCCCCCACTTTGCTTATGGGGGTGTGTTAAAATATTATAGTGCTTACTTTGTGTAGGCTATAGTGAGGTAGCCTATAAGGGTTTAGGGTTTAGGGTTTAGGGTTTAGGGTCTGGTAATAGATGCAGACTGGTAATAACTCAATGGAATAGGGTCGACGACACCGTTAACCCTCCGTCGACCATGGAGCTGCTGACCTCGTACAGAAGAAAATTAAAACCCCCTCAGATGGCATCAACCCTAAACATCATGCGACAAGGTTTTAAGAATGGATGTCTTTCAGTAGGAGGTTTATTTTTAATTGCCCGTGGGTAGCAAGCTCCGCTGGGTGGTGTCGCTTGTCCAAGCAGATAATCCTAAGCACTTGACGACTTCCCGTATTTAGGGTTAATACTTCCAAATTCTGTCCTGGTTATCCAAGAGTTTAGTATGTTTCCTTTTTTGTTGGGTATGTGCAGACCTGCTGGTGGCGACTTTGTTTCAGGTTTGTTCTTATAACTAAAAAAACAGTATGTTTAGTTACTATGATGCGAAATTGTTGGTTGAGTATGTTCGCAAACCGCTTCTGGCATAATTTGAGTATCAATGATATTGGCCGGCCTTTTTTGGTGTCGAACAGAGCTCATGCCAGGTATTGTCACAGCGGTTTTTGCCAAACCTTCCAAGTTTTGTCTAGGGGCATCAAACACCTTTGTAACCCTGAACCCGCAACGACAGTTAGGAGGCACCCGACGCGACAACCACGGGTACTGTACTGTAAGAGTGCAACATGCAGGCAGGCTGTACACAACCTCGACGATTTCTACTGTGTAACTCCGTGCTACAGCAGCTGCCAGAGACGTTTGGCGGTGCGCTGTGTAACGATGGAATGGAACCAATTGTATTGTGGCCAAGATCACTTGCATACTTGTAGTATAACTTCCTGCTCAGTATTTCTGCCAAGTGCGGAAAATCCATCGGCGAATCTGCTTTCCCACAAAGCTGGAAATCCTCCTATGGTTGGGTGTAGGGACTTCCAGAAGGTGCGGGATGCATGCGTGCCTACGATCCGCCGCGTAAGGACGCGATCGTTACCACGTCGCGGTCGCCATGTTTCGCCGATCGATCCGCCCACTCGATTGTGGAGCTCGATATTTGCAGACGATCCTGCGATTTTTGCACTTTCACCGTGTCCTAACATGGTTCGTTTCTTGGTTGGCGTTCCACCGAGCTGGGTACCTGACCAAGAAGGTCCCACCCTGCTGTTTTGGGTAGGACCGAACGCGTTTTTTTTGCGCAAAATGATCGACTTGATATCGCCAACGTAAAAAATAATCTTATTCTCCATCATTGCTTCTGTCAGATCAGATACACGTATCTCCACTCTTCCCGCGAGTCCAGTCAGCCTCCGCCGCCCGTCATGTGGAGGAAGTCGCAGGGGAGGGACGACGAATCCCATACACTTTCGAAGTGTTTGTGATTCGTTGGCTGCTCACCGACACGGTTGAAAGCAAACTCTAAAATTTGGGTTGGAAAAGCACTCCGGCAGCATCGGTGTGTGGAGAGGAGAGCCCCTTCTGTAGTCACTGGCGCAGGAGGGATTGCACATTTGAAATGCGCAGCATTGCAACGCGGCTTTTGCACATTTTTCAGCAACCGCAGCGTGAGCATAGCCGAGTCCCTGCATCCCAAACAATCTAACAACCCCACTGCATCCCCCACAATCTGCCTGGCAGGCAATGCCTGGTCATTACACGTTGCGCAATGCCGGCTGGGCAAAGTCAATCTTTGTGCATGGATTTAGTGCCTGCTGTGGAGTACTACCTGACAGACAAAAAGATTCTCGTCATATTTTCTCTTATTTATTCAACTCGGCGAGTGGTTCTGGTACTGCCAGTACAGGCATAGCAGATGCAGTCAGCCTTTTTTCTTCGTTTTCTGAAGTCTAAAAACAAGGGTAATCGAATTCCCCGTTTAGACTGTCCGTTCGGAGTAACGCGGCTGGGTTAGGGTTCTTCATCGCCTCAGATCGACGAACGTTCTGCCGTGTAAATGGCACTGGAGTTGGCCGCACCGCCTTTGCACGAGCACTTGGCGAATCCTCCGAGTCGGAAAGCGGCTGGCCGTGAGCAAGAGTGGGGCGGCTGTGACTCACAGCTGTCACTCGGCCGGCAGGAGCTTAGGCTGCGCGGGTTGGCCTCCTCGGAGGAGGTGGCGGCGAAGGTGGTGGCCTCTGATGGGCACAGCTGGCTCAAGTACGGTCGGAAGAAAGTCCGCCATTCGGGTGCCACCAGGTCAGTTTTTCATTGGCTTGCCGCGTTGACCCTCATTGACTTTCGTTGACTCGTGTTGACTCTGTGCACTTCCGCTGAATCTGTTGACTCTGTATCATGCCCTCACTATGCTGCTTTGCGGAATCCACCCTCTTGCCCCAGCAGGTGCTACAAAGTGCAATCTCTCTAAGGCAATCTGACTCTTTGACTCTCTGTATGCCCTTACGCTGTGCGCCGGAATCCACCCTCTTACCCCAGCAGGTGCTACTACAAGTGCAGCATGTCTAAGGCCATCCCTCGCTGCCCCGCCAGGAAGACCGCTGACATCAAAAGCCTCGACTCTATTCATGTCACCTACCGATGCCGCATCCACAACCACCCCGTAGTTCCCAACCGCCGTTCACCCTACTACCACCCTAACGTTCCCGTTGGCGATACGAACTGCCGTGCCGACCACCATATCAACCTTACGGCTTCACAAGGTGTGGTTGGCCCTGTGGCACCTGGCACCGTTCGACCTGTTGCTTCTGGTGGGGAATTGAAGGCGCTCGTGCAATCTTTGCAGCATGAGAGCGTGGGAGTGATTGCTTCTGGCAGTAGGACAGACGCTGGTTGTGCTGCTGTTGCTGCTGGTGGTGGTGCTGGTGATGCTGCTGTTCGGCTTGCCGCTTCTTGTGGCGACTGGGAGGCCCTCGTGCCAGCCTTGCAGCGTGAGAGCGTGGGAGTGACTTCTGGCAATGGGTCCGACGCTGGTTGTTTTGCTGCTGCTGCCGGTGGTGCTGGTGATGCTGCTGTTCGAGCTGGTGGCGCAGGTGCTGCTGATGCTGCGGCTAGTGCTGGTGGTGGTGGTGCTGCTGCTGCTGCTTCTTCTGCTGCTGCTTCTGCTGCTGCTGCTGCTGTTGCTGCTGCTGCTGCTGCTGCTGCTGCTGCTGCTGCTGCTGCTGTTGTTGTTGTTGCTGCTGCTGCTGCTGCTGCTGCTGCTGCTGCTGCTGCTGCTGCTGCTGCTGCTGCTGCTGCTGCTGCTGCTGCTGCTGCTGCTGCTGTTGTTACTGCTTCTTCCGACGGTGGTGGTGCTGCTGATGCAGATTGGGCCGCCGATTTGACAAACGAGGTTTTCTCATTGCTGGGAGCAAGATCGCCTTTGGTTCAAGAGCAACAAGAGCTTTTACAGCGGCGCAGTCTCACCCATGTGGGACTTCTATCCAAAGAATCCCTTGCTCGTTATTCCTTGTGAAGGGCAAGAAACGTCGTTGCACCATTCCCTGAAGTCACCTCAGAAGGACGACTATCGTGCACGCGGAGTGGGAGAGAATCCAGAACCTTTCTTTAGGTTCCAAGTGCCACTGTGTGAGGGGCATCACTCCTTTGGGGCGCCTCAAAAAGGGGACGGGAATGAGGAGCTGGAGTACGGATGTTCAGAAGCCGTGCTGCCAAGACCACTGAGGCCTGTTTTGGTTGCTGCTGTGACGGACGGCTGTGCTACTGTGACTGACGGCTGTGCTGCTGCGACTGACGGCTGTGCTGCTGTAATTGACGGCTGTGCTGCTGTGACTGACGGCTTTGCTTCCGTTACTGATGGCTGTGCTCCCGTTACTGATGGCTGTGCTGCTGTGACTGACATCTGTGCTGCTAAGGCTGACAGCTGTGCTCCTGGGCTTCTCACCCGTTGGGATGCGCTGCAGATTCTTTTTGAGTTGACTCGCGATTCATCCTTGGCTAACAGCTGTGCTGCATCCGATGCTCTGGAGGTTCAAGCAGAGCGTGATGCGCTGTCACAGCAGTAGCAGCGGCAGCAGCAGCGGCAGCGGCAGCAGAAGCAGCAATGGCAGCGGCGGCGGCAGCAGCGGCGGCAGCAGCAGTGGCAGCAGCAGCAGCAGCATCAGAAGAAGAACCAGCAGCAACCACCACCACCGAAGCAGCAGCAAATGCAACTCAAGCAGCAACAACATCATCAGTCACTCACTATCACAGCTTTGCTGCTGTCGATTGCCAAATCTGCCAAAGAGCGCCTTGCGACCCTAGACATTCTCAGGACCGTGCCTGCTGCTGTGCCTGCTGTTCTTTCCAACCCTAGCGTCAGCACCTCACAACCTCTAGCAAGTCAAGCCTCCATCGCCTTGTGCAATACTGCTGAAACGGGGACTCCTCAGTCGCTCGTACCTGGGCCTGTTCATCGGCATCAGAAGCGTCCTGCATCTGCCATGGATACACCTCCATCTCCTCCTCCTCCTCCTCCTCCTCCTCCTCCTCCTCCTCCTCCTCCTCCTCCTCCTCCTCCTCCTCCTCCTCCTCCTCCTCCTCCTCATCCCCTTGCCTGTTCCCATGCCTCTGCCCGTGCCTGTGCCTGTGGCCGTGCCTCACGGGTTCGGAGGGGAAATAAGCCTGACATGGCCTGTGCCTTGTGGGCGTGTGAGTGCAGCAGCGAGCCTGAGGAGCAGTATGCCACAGGCGCAGTTTGGACCGAGCCGGCTGTATGTGCCTGCAAGGGTGCTTGTGCTCGTGGATGTACCTCTGCCTCTGCCCATGGCTGCGCCTGTGGCTCTGCCTGCCAGCACAGGGAGGATGAGGCGCATCAGGAGCCTCGTACCTCCACCATTGTTGAGACACCCAGCATTGCGGTGCCGCCGAATATTATTGAGCTCCCAACCATCATTACCATGCCATCAGCTACATGGCTTTGTGACAAGGAAGGTTCCGCAACGCCGACAACACCTGTGTCACCCATTCCCGGGACCAAGATTGGTGAGCTGCCCACCATCGTTATGCCACCAGTCACGTGGCTTTGTGATGTGGAAGGTTCCGCAACACCTACAACACCCGTGTCACCCATTCCCACGACAAGAAAGAGCAGCATATGTTCTCACAAGCTAACCAGCATCTGTGGCGCGGGCTACAAGTCCTGCAGCACCAAGCCCTGCAGGACTGGTTGCAAGCCCTACAGCAAAAGCAATGTGAAGGCTGAAGTGACACGCCTCGAACAGCACGTCCTTCCTGTGCTTGCTCACCCTCACCCACCTGACAATGCAGCCAAACTCCAACACCGATTGGCTGCGAATAAAATGGCAAATTCATCAGTGCCTCGATCCTCCTCTGGTCAATTGCCACTCTTTGGCGATAACCTAACTGGTGCAGCTCTCATGGTTGATGGGGGCGTGTTTACACGAGGTCCAGCAGCCATGACCACTATAAGCGATGCAGATACAACACAAGAAGCTTTAGCTGGGCAACAGGTTGAAATTCCCGTACTGCCAGAGGCCTCGAATCGCATAACGCCACTTGAACCCACGCAAGCGCCCCTGCAGGCCATGCTGTGTGCAGGTCCCATGGTGAGGACATTCTTGAGCCGATGTGTTAAAGCCCGCCTACCCGTAGGCCCAGTGATTACAGTGGGCTCAGTTCCACGTGAAGTGTTTCGAATGCCAGCCCAGCAGGGAATGGTTGTGCCATCAGCCCGGCGGGGAATGGTTGGACCTGTGATTCCGGCAAAAACATTTGCATTCCTGGGAGGGGCCAGCACCGCCCGCGTTTCAGACTATGCAGCGGCTGACATGCGGCACAAACTTCAGTCTTGGCTCGATGGTGCTGCTTAGAAGGGCATAGTTTTTCCGAATTGAGGAGTGACCAGTAATTTCAGCATTGGTTTTCTGGGTGTTTCGGTGGTGTGTACATTCATCATGTATATGGTTTGAATAGGATAATCTTGCTGGGACTGCTATTGTTACTGTCTTGTACATAAAGGTCTAATCCAGATACCGTACACTGGGTACTTCGGATTTGCAGGCACACCAAATCTGGGACAGCAGTGCTCATAATTTGTGGCAGAAACTTGTTCGGGATTTCGGTTTTTGTTAATGTCACATTTGCACTGCCATACATGCCCATTGTATGGACCCCCACTTTCCAGCCCCTCACCTCGTAAGGTACCCCACTCTCATACCTATACTCCTTTGTGCCAGAATCTCGTCTGGCTCTTGAATTTTGTGAGTGCCACATTTGCACTACCGTACTGTCAGATTTATATGACATAGCTACTGTAGGCTAGAGTGGGGTAGCACATATGGGGTACAGTTTTCTAGGGTTTGCTTCTTGTACCCAACTTTCACTTAGTCATTCTCATTCCTGTTTTTCTTGATTCACATGGTATAGAGCGGGTTCCTACATGGGACCGTTCCTTCCTAAGGGCCCACCATAAGATTTTTTTTTTTTTTTTTAGCTGCCCGCGCACATTGCGCCCTGCCCTAATTTTTTTTTTTTTTTTAGCGGCCCCTACGCTGCCTCTACGCGGCCCCTAAGCCGCCTCCCACGCGCCCCCTATGCGGCCCCTGGCGGCGCCCTGACGAGGCCCCTGCCGACGCCCTATCGCGGCCCCTGACGCGCCCCCTGGTGGCGCCCTGACGCGGCCCCTGGCGGCGCCTGACGCGGCCCTGACGCGGCCTGACGCGGCCCCTGGCGGCGCCCTGACGCAGCCCCTGCCGCGGCCCTGACGCGGCCTTGCCGCGCCCCCTGACGCGGCCCTGACGCGGCCTGCCGCGGCCCCTGCCGCGGCCCTGAAGCGGCCCCTGACGCGGCCCTGACGCGGCCCTGATGCGGCCCTGCCGCGGCCCCTGGCGGCGCCCTGACGCGGCCCCTGACGCGGCGCCCTGACGCGGCCCCTGCCGCGGCTCTGACGCGGCCCTGCCGCGGCCCCTGACGCGGCCCTGAAGCGGCTCTGCCGCGGCCCTGACGCGGCCCTGACGCGGCCCCTGACGCGGCCCCTGCCGCGGCCCCTTACGCGGCCCTGACGCGGTCCTGCCGCGGCCCCTGGCGGCGCCCTGACGCGGCCCCTGACGCGCCGCCCTGACGCGGCCCTGCCGCGGCCCCTGACGCGGCCCCTGCCGCGGCCCCTGACGCGGCCCCTGACGCGGCCCCTGTCGCGGCCCCTGACGCGGCCCCGCCACCTACCTTTCTGGCCCCGCCGCCTCCTCTCAGCGGCCCCGCCGCATCCTCTCAGCGGCCCCGCCGCCTCCTCCCAGCGGCCCCGGACGCCGCCCTCTCAGCGGCCCCGCCGAGCCGCCCAGCAAGCCTAGCCGCCCAGCAGCTGAGCCACCGAGCCGCCCAGCAGCCGAGCCGCCGAGCCGCCCAGCAGCCGAGCCGCCCAGCAGCAGAGCCGCCGAGCCGCCCAGCAGCCGAGTCGCTGAGCCGCCCAGCAGCCGAGCCGCCGAGCCGCCCAGCAGCCGAGCCGCCCAGCAGCCGAGTCGCCGAGCCGCCCTGCAGCCGAGCCGCCCGAGCCGCCCTGTCCGGTAAGAGCAGCGCCTCTCTCACAGCACTGCCCTCACCCCACTGTTTGCGCTGCTAGTCTACTACTGTCATGGCTACCCCTAGTGTCCTCGCTTTTGACGCTGAGGGTCGGGCCATTGACTTTGACGTCTGGATAGATGACCTGCAGCTTTTCTTACAGTGCGATAGGGCAGACGGCCTCTCCCTCTTTGACCTCACTTCTGGTGCCTCTCCTGCTCCCGCCACTGATGCTGACGCAACTGTTCGCTCCCAGTGGGCCACGCGCGATGCTGCTGCACGTCTTGCTGTGCGTCGCCACCTGCCTACCTCTGAGCGTGCGCACTTTAGCCAGTACAAGAGTGCTCAGACCTTGTACGACGCTGTAGTTGCACGCTACTCCTCCCCTGCCACTGCTGCACTGAGCCGCCTCATGCTACCGTACCTCTTCCCTGACCTTGCTGCCTTTCCCACAGTCGCTGACCTCATCACGCACCTCCGCACTAGTGACACTCGCTACCGCGCTGCACTTCCTGCTGAGTTCTGCGCCAAGAACCCCCCCCCCATGTACATCACCCTCTACTACATCGTCACCCGTCTCCCTGACTCCCTTCGCGTAGTCAGGGACCACTTCCTCTCGGTTTGTCCCACCACTCTCACCGTTGACCTCCTCGAGAAGGCCCTCCTAGCAGCAGAAAAGAGCATAGTCGCTGTAGGAGCCTCTCGTGGTGACCCTCGCACCCCCATCTTTGAGGGGTGTTCCCCCTCCCCTCTTTTGCCCTCTGTTGCCTCTGCTGCTGCGGCCGACCTCGCTGGTTTGGAGTCGGTTGGGGCAGCGTCTACCCCTAGCGGGAGACGCCGCCCTGGCAGGGGCAAGGGGGGCAGGGGCGCTGGAGGAGCTAGCGGGGGCGGTGGAGGCGGCGGTGGAGGTGGTGGAGGAGGTGGTGGTGGCGGTGGGAGTGGTGGCGGGGGTGGAGGTGTAGGTGGCGGCAGTGGAGGCGCAGGAGGCAGCGGCGGTGGCGGAGGGAGCGGAGGTGGCGGCGGTGGAGGAGGAGGCGGCGGAGGAGGTGGAGCTGGTCGGGGTGGCGCTGCGCAGAGGGTCAGCTCCGGTGGTGGTCAGCGCCAGCAGCAGCAGCAGCAGCAGCAGCAGCGCACTCGTGACGTCCCCTCCCCTCAGCAGCTCCGTGAGTGGTACACTGCACGCCAGAGGGGTGGGGGTGCTGGTCCGTGCACCTACGTCCTGCGCACCGGCGACCGCGCGGGTGAGCAGTGCGGGGGTGCGCACTCCACCCAGCGCTGCTTTGGCCGCCTCACGGACGCTTGGCGTCACCAGTTCCCTGAGGCCACTGAGATCCCCCGCTGGGGTGAGCTGTCTAGGGCGGGTGTAGCTGTCTTTGACCTTGACTTTGATGCTATTCTTGCTGCCGTGTATACTGTGACTATTAGTGATGAGGGTGACTGTTACCGGTGTTTTCCGCCCGACCCGGGCATTGAGACTGCTGCTCTAGGTACTGGTGAGGCTGCTGCTCTAGGTGCTAGCGAGGCTGCTGCTCTAGGTGCGTCTACTCCCTCAGGTGCTGGTGAGTCTGCTCTCTCAGGTTCTGCGTCGGCTTCGGCCTCCCACACCTTCACACTTGACTCGGGGGCTTCTCGCTCCTTCTTTCGAGACCGCACCACACTCACGCCGCTTGGCCGGCCAGTTGCGGTCTCCCTGGCAGACCCCTCTGGGGGTCCTGTCCTTGCTCACTTCTCCACTGTCCTCCCGTGTCCGGCGGCCCCCTCTGGCACCCTGTCTGGTCTCTACCTCCCCTCGTTCTCTACGAACTTGGTGAGTGGTGCTGACCTACAGGATGCGGGGGTTCACCAGTTCACTCCTGCGAGTCAGCGGGTGACCCACTGCACGGACGCTCGGACAGGCCGCCACCTGGCCACGTTTACACGTCGGCCAGGGTCGAGCCTGTACACACTGACCACTGCGTCTCCTCCAGTCCCTGCGTCTGGTCAGGTAGCTGCGTCGGGTCAGGTGTTTGCTGCAGCGTCCAGGTCTGGTCCTGAGTCTGCCCCCTGCTCGTGTCGCCTCCTGTCTCACGAGACTCTCCTCTGGCACCACCGCCTTGGCCACCCCTCCCTGCTTCGTCTCCGGAGCATGGCCTCCCGTGTCCTTGTCTCTGGTCTTCCCCGGTCCCTCCCTCCCCTTCCTCCGGGGCCAGGCCCTACCTGCGTCCCCTGTGTCGAGGGACGGCAGCGGGCTACCCCTCACTCCTCCCAGTTTCCTCCGACAGAGGCCCCGCTGCAGACGCTTCACATGGACGTGTGGGGCCCGGCCCGCGTCCGTGGACAGGGTCACGAGCGCTACTTCCTGCTGGTGGTTGACGACTACTCGCGTTACACCACAGTCTTCCCCTTGCGCAGCAAGGGTGATGTCACTGAGGTGTTGATCGACTGGATCCGCGCAGCTCGTCTCCAGCTCAGGCGGAGCTTTGGCTCGGACTTTCCTGTTCTGCGTCTGCACTCTGACAGAGGCGGAGAGTTCTCCTCTGGCCTTCTGCGAGCCTACTGTCGTGCACGAGGCATCCGCCAGACCTTCACGCTTCCGGACTCTCCACAGCAAAATGGGATTGCTGAGCGCCGCATTGGCATGGTCATGGACGTCGCCCGTACGTCCATGATGCATGCGGCTGCCCCCCATTTTCTGTGGCCGTTTGCGGTTCGGTACGCGGCGCATCAGATCAACCTTCAGCCCAGGGTCTCCATGCCGGAGACCTCCCCAGCTTTGCTGTGGACGGGGAAGGTTGGCGATGCGTCTGCGTTCCGTGTCTGGGGATCTCGGGCGTTTGTCCGCGACTTGTCTGCGGACAAGCTGTCCCCTCGTGCTGCTCCTTGCGTCTTCCTGGGTTTCCCCCCTGACGCCCCAGGGTGGCAGTTCTACCACCCCACCTCTCGCCGTGTTCTGTCCTCCCAGGACGTCACGTTCGACGAGTCGGTCCCCTACTACCGCCTCTTCCCCTACCGCACTCCGTCCCTCCCCCCGCCACCGCTCTTCCTTGTACCAGGTCCCCCCCGGTAGACCCCCTCCCCCCTCAGGGTCCTGCCCCTTCAGGTGTGTCCCAGGTAGACGCTGTTGAGCCTGTCGAGGTCGCTGGTGACTCTGGTGCTGCTGAGGGTACTGAGCCTGGGGGTGCTGACTCTAGGGGTGCTGAGCGTGTGGGTGCTACGCCTGGGGGTGCTGAGCCTGGGGGTGCTGAGCCTGGGGGTGCTGAGTCTGGGGGTACTACGACTGGGGGTGCTGAGCCTGGGGGTACTACGCCTGGGGGTGCTGAGCCTGGGGGTGCTGCGTCTGGGGGTGCTGAGCCTGGGGGTACTCCGCCTGGAGGTGCTGAGCCTGGGGGTACTACGCCTGGTGGTGCTGTGCCTGGCGGTTCACCGGGTGCTCCCTCTCGCCGAGAGCCACTCTCTCCCCAGGAGCTGCGTGAGTGGTTTGCCCGGCGCTGGAGGCGAGCTGCTGGAGCTGCTGGAGCTGGAGGTGCTGCGGGTACTGGAGGTTCTGTTGCTTCTGAGGGAGCTGGTGCCACGGGTCCCGGAGGTGCTCGTACTGGGAGTTCTGGAGCTGCTGGACCTGCGGGTACTTCTGGAGCTGGAGTTGCTGCGGGTGTTGGCGCGGAGGCTACTGCTGTCGGTCCTGGAGGCAGTCCTGCTGGGGGTACTACTGGTGCTGCTGGGGGTTCTGGAGCTGGAGCTGCTACTGGTGCTGGTGCTGCCCCTGCGGGTGCTGGTGCTGTCCCTCCTGTATCTGGAGTCGCCGCGCGGCCTCAGCCGTACTTCGTTCCGCTCCTTCAGCAGGTTCTTGGTCTCCCGCCTTCTGCTGGTCCTCCTCCTCCCTTAGAGTGTCCACAGCCTGTCCCGTCGCAGTTACAGTTACAGCCGGCCTCCCCACTGCCTGCTCCGTCTCCCTACACTGGTCCTACTGGAGGTCTTGCTGAGCGTCGTGAGCCTGCGTCTCGCCCTGCGTCGCCTGTCCGTGCTGCTCGCACTAGTGGTCGCGGTTCGCGTCAGCGTCCTCCTCCTGTCCCTGGCACGCACCGGATGTCTCTGCGTCCGTCCACTGCTCCTCTGCGTGCCCCTTTGCCTTCTCCTCCTGAGTCTTCTCTTCCTACTCTTGCCGACCCGGAGTCGGACTCTCTTCGCGCTGCCAGTCCTACTGTCACGCGTCTCCTTGCTACGGTTGTCACTGACCCTTCCTTTGAGTCCACTGCTGCGTCTGCTCTAGTTGCTGAGCTCGTCGACTTTGCTGCTCGCTGTCGCCTAGACTACGTCGCCAGTCTTGTTGCTGAGTCTGAGTCTGTCTGTCCTCCGTCCGTCGGGGGTGAGTGTGCCCTTGGCACGGACGTCCTTGAGGACAGGCAGGAGGAGTTCCAGTGCTTGGCCGCTGCTTCACCTCATCTCGTGTCCGTACTGCTTACCCCTGAGGGAGACCCGGATGCACTTGACATCCCGACTCCGCGCTCTTACGCGGAGGCGATAGAGGGTCCAGCGGCTGCTGCTCTAGGTGCTAGTGCGTCTGCTGCTCCAGGTGCTGGTACGTCTCCTCTCTCAGGTACTGCACCTACTGAGTCCTTTCACACCTTCACACTTGACTCTGGTGCTTCGCGCTCTTTCTTTAGAGACAGCACCACGCTCACGCCGCTCAGTCGGCCTGTTGCGGTCTCCCTTGCTAGTACTTGCACACTCCTCCACAGTCCTACCGTGTCCTGCGGCCCCATCGGGCTTGCTGTCGGGACTCCACCTCCCCTCGTTCTCTACGAACCTGGTGAGTGGAGCTGACTTCCAGGACGCGTGGGTTGACCAGTTCACCCCTGGAGGTCAGCGTGTGACCCACTGCACTTGCTCTCGGACGGGCCGTCACCTGGCCACGTTCACCAGGGTCGAGTCTGTACACACTGACTACTGCGCCTCCTCCGGTCTCTGCGTCTGGTCAGGTAGCTGCGTCCAGTCAGGTGTTTGCTGCCGCGTCCAGGTCTAGTCCTGCGTCTGCCCCCTGCTCGTGTCGTCCTTTGGCACACGAGACTCTCCTTTGGCACCACCGCCTTGGTCACCCCTCCCCGCCTCGTCTTCAAGGTATGGCCTCCCGTGCCCTTGTCTCGGGTCGACCCAGGTCCCTCCCTCCCCTTCCTCCGGGGCCTGCCCCCACCTGTGTTCCTTGTGTCGAGGGCCGGCAGCGCGCCGCCCCTCACTCCTCCTCGTTTCCTCCGACTGAGGCCCCTCTGCAGACTCTTCACATGGACGTGTGGGGCCCAGCCCGCGTCCGTGGACAGGGTCACGAGCGCTACTTCCTCCTGGTCGTTGACGACTACTCGCGTTACACCACAGTCTTCCCCTTGCGCAGCAAGGGTGAGGTCACTGAGGTGTTGATCGTTTGGATCCGCGGTGCTCGTCGCCAGCTCAGTGAGAGTTTCGGCTCAGACCTTCCTGTTCTGCACCTGCACTCGGACAGAGGCGGGGAGTTTTCCTCCGACCTCCTGAGGGCCTTCCGTCGTTCGGAGGGCATTCGCCAGACGTTCACGCTTCCGGCCTCCCCGCAGCAAAATGGGATTGCTGAGCGCCGCATTGGCATGGTCATGGACGTCGCTCGTACGTCCATGATCCATGCGGCTGCTCCCCATTTTCTGTGGCCGTTCGCGGTTCAGTACGCGGCGCATCAGATCAACCTTCAGCCTCGTGTCTCCTTGCCGGAGACCACACCTACTCTGCGGTGGACGGGGAAGGTTGGCGATGCGTCCGCGTTTCGTGTCTGGGGATCTCGAGCTTTTGTCCGCGATACTACTGCGGACAAGCTGTCCTCCCGTGCCGTTCCCTGTGTCTTCCTTGGCTTCCCTCCTGACGCACCCGGGTGGCAGTTCTACCACCCCACTTCGCGTCGTGTTCTGTCCTCTCAGGACGTCACGTTCGACGAGTCGGTGTCGTACTACCGTCTCTTTCCCTACCGCACTGCCTCTCCCCCCCCCCCGCCGCTCTTCCTCGCACCAGGTACTCCCCTGGTAGACCCCCTCCCCCCCCAGGGTCCTGCCCCCTCAGGTGTGTCCCAGGTAGACCCTGCCGAGCCGGTCGAGGTAGCTGTCGACTCAGGTGCTGCTAGGGGTGCTGAGACTGGGGGTGCTGAGACTGGGGGTGCTGAGTCTGGAGGTGCTCTAGGTGTCCCGTCGCGGCGGGAGCCCCTCTCTCCACAGCGGCTTCGTGAGTGGTACTCTCGGCGCTATCGAGGTGTTGCTGGTGCTGGAGCTGCTGGAGGTGCTGGAGGTGCGACTGGAGCTACTGGAGGTGCTGGCGCTGCTGGAGGTGGTGCTGGTGCTGGAGCTGCTGGAGGTGCTGCTGGTGCTGGAGCTGCTGGAGGTGCTGTTGGTGCTGTAGGTGCTGGAGGTGCTCCTGGAGCTACTGGAGGTGCTGGCGCTCCTGGAGGTGGTGCTGGTGCTGGAGCTACTGGAGGTGCTGCTGGTGCTGGAGCTGCTGGAGGTGCTGGTGCTGCTGGAGGTGGTGCTGCTGCTGGAGCTGCTGGAGGTGCTGCTGGTGCTGGTGCTGGAGCTGCTGGAGGTGCTGCTGGGATTGGAGACCCTGGGGCTGAGGGTACCGGTTCTGTCTCTGCTGTTTCTCGAGGCGCTGCGCGGCCGCGGCCGTACTACGTTCCCCTCCTTCAGCAGGTTCTTGGCTCCCCGCCTTCTCCTGGTCCTCCTCCTCCTTTCCTGAGTCCACCGCCTGTCCAGTCTCAGTCGCAGTTGCAGCCGGCCCCTCCCCTGCCTGGTCCTTCTCCTTACTCTGGTCCGACTAGAGGTCTTACGGAGCGTCGTGAGCCTGAGTCGCGTCCTGTGTCGCCTGCGTCTCGTTCTGCGTCGCCTGTCCGCACTGTTCGCGCTGGTCGTGTTTCGCGTCCACGTCTTCCTCCTGTCCCCGGCAGTCACTCTATGACACTGCGTCCTTCTACTGCTTCACAGCGTGTCCCTCTGCCCTCTCGTCCTGCGTCCTCTCTTCCTGACGGTCCGGACCCGGAGTCTGACTCCCTTCGTGCTGCTAGTCCTACTGTCACGCGCTTTCTGGCCACTGCTGTCACTGACCCTCTGTTTGAGTCTTGTTGCTGAGCTTGTTGACTTTGCTGCAGCCTGTCCCCTAGATTACGCCACTAGTCTTGTTGCTGCGTCTGCGTCTGTCTGTCCTCCGTCCGTCGGGGGTGAGTGTGCTCTTGGCACGGACGTTCTTGAGGACAGACAGGAGGACCTTGAGTGCTTTGCCGCTGCTTCACCTCATCTCGTGTCCATGCTGCTTGCCCCTGAGGGAGACCCGGATGCACTAGACATCGCTCTTACGCAGAGGCGATAGAGGGTCCCTACTCTTCTCAGTGGCCTGCAGCCATGGACGCAGAGATGGCTTCCTGGAAGTCCACAGGCACCTACGTAGACGAGGTTCCCCCACCTGGGGCGAACATCGTCAGTGGCATGTGGATCTTCAGGGTGAAGCGGCCGCCGGGTTCTCCGCCTGCCTTCAAGGCGCGTTACGTTGCACGTGGCTTCAGTCAGCGACAGGGAGTTGACTTCTTTCAGACCTTCTCCCCTACCCCGAAGATGACCACTCTTCGGGTACTGCTGCACGTTGCTGCTCAGCGTGACTACGAGCTCCACTCGCTTGACTTCAGCACAGCCTTCCTACAGGGCAGCCTGCACGAGGAGATCTGGCTGCGCCGCCCACCTGGCTTCACTGGGTCGTTTCCTGCTGGTACCCAGTGGAGCCTCCGGCGGCCAGTCTACGGTCTCCGCCAGGCGCCCCGTGAGTGGCACGACACGCTCAGGACGACTCTTGCTGCTCTTGGTTTTGCTCCTTCCACTGCTGACCCTTCTCTGTTTCTACGCACTGACGCTACTCTGCCGCCGTTCTACGTTCTTGTGTACGTAGACGACCTTGTCTTTGCTACTGCTGACACGGAGGCACTCGCCCACGTGAAGTCCGAGCTGCAGAAGAGACACACGTGCACAGACCTGGGTGAGCTGACAAGCTATCTTGGCTTGCGGATCACCCGGGACAGAGCACAGCGCACCATTACCTTGACTCAGTCACACATGGTGCAGCAGGTCCTTCAGCGCTTCGGCTTCACCTACTCCTCGCCACAGTCCACTCCTCTACCTACCGGTCACTCGCTCTCAGCTCCACCTTCGGACGAGTCCGTAGAGCCGAGTGGCCCGTATCCAGAGCTTGTGGGCTGCCTCATGTACCTGATGACTTGCACACGACCTGACCTCGCATACCCTCTCAGCCTTCTGGCTCGCTACGTGGCTCCCGGCAGGCACCGAAAGGTGCACTGGGATGCTGCGAAGAGGGTGTTGCGATACTTGTGCAGTACATCGGGCATGGGGCTCGTGCTTGGAGGACGGGCTCGAGTTGTCCTCACTGGTCACGCTGACGCCTCCTGGGTTGACGACTTGGCTACGCATCGGTCGTCACAGGGTTACATCTTCAGCCTTGGCTCCGGTTCTGTCTCCTGGCGGTCTACCCGCTCTTCTTCTGTTCTCAGCTCCAGTTGGGAGGCTAAGATCTACGCTGGGGCCATGGCTGCACAGGAGCTTCGCTGGCTCACCTACCTGCTGACCGACTTGGGAGAGGCGCCTCGTTCTCCTCCAGTTCTGTACGTTGACAACAAGGCCATGCTGGCCTTGTGTCAAGAGCACAGACTGGAGCACAGAACGAAGCACATTGCTCTGCGCTACTTCCTTGCTTGAGAGGTGCAGCAGCGTGGCCAGCTTCGTCTTGCTTACGTGGCCTCTCAGGCCAACACTGCTGATGTTTTCACCAAGGCACCCCCCGCGCGCCCTGCTGTCCTGCTGCCCCGCGTGCCCTGCTCGCCCTGCAGCCCTGCGCGCCCTGCTGCCCTGCAGCCCTGTGCGCCCTACTGCCCTGTGCGCCCCGCGCGCCCTGCAGCCCTGCGCGCCACGCGCGCCCTGCTGCCCTGCTGCCCTGTGCGCCCCGCGCGCCCTGCAGCCCTGCTGCGCCCCGCGCGCCCTGCTGCCCTGCTGCCCTGTGTGCCCCGCGCGCCATCGCTCAAAGCGAGCCATCCGGGAAAGATACGTGGTTCTTGGACAGCTGCTGTGGACAGCACATGTGCTCTTCAGGACGTTTTGTTCAACGTGAACACCAACTTCAACGCGAGGTCGTCATCACCGTCGCCAACAATCAGAACCTGCGCACACGACGACAAGGCGTAGTACAACTTCAGTCACGAGAGACAAACGTCATACTGCAGATGTCAAAAGTTCTAATAGCAGAAGGGCTCAGTTACAACCTACTGAGCGTCAGTCAACTGATGGCGAAGGGCATCCACCTCGAAGCAAATAGTACCACTCAGGAGTTCAAATTATACCACGGGAAAGGCGGTCTTTACATCGGGAAGGCGGTCCTGAAAAACAACGTCTTCGTCCTCGACTTCGTCCCAGATCTTGGCACTGCTGACAGCGACGGGATTGTCACTTTCACCTCTTGGACACATCCACCGGATCTTGACCCCGACTTCAGTCCAGAAGGCTTCTGGTACTCGCACACCATCCCTGAGGCAGAACGAACAAGAGCATTAGCAACAATTCAACACTCAGCAGCAGCAGAGACAACATCGGAAGCAGTAAAAACAACGGCAGCAGCAGCAGCAGCAACATCAACGCCAATCGCTGGACCTTCAACTGCACCAGTTCCAATCGACGGCACTCCACCGACTGGCACACGTAGACTGGCCAGCGGAGGCTCCACTGGGTACCTGCAGGAAACAACCCAGTGAAGCCAAGTGGGCGACACAGCCAGATCTCCTCGTGTAGGCTGCCCTACAAGAAATCCAAAGAGTGTAACTCGTAGTCACGCTGAGCAGCGACGTGCAGCAACACCCGAAGAGTAGTCATCTTCGGGGTGGGGGAGAAGGTTTGGAAGTAGTCGACTCCCTGTCGCTGACTGAAGCCTCTAGCAACGTAAAGTAGAACCCGGCGAAGAACCCGGCGGCCGCTTCACCCTGAAGATCCACATGCCATCGACTATGTTCGCCCGAGACGGGGGAACTGCGTCGACGTAGGTGCCTGTGGACTTCCAGGATGCCATCTCGGCATCCATGGCTGTCTCCCACTAAGAGGAGTAAGGACCCGTAATCGCCTCTGCGTAAGAGCGCAGGGTCGGGATGTCTGGTGCATCCGGGTCTCCCTCACGGGGAAGCAACATGGAAGCGAAACAAGGTACAGCAGCTGCAAGACACTCAAATTCGTCCTGCCTGTCCTCAAGGACGCCCGTGCCAAGAGCACACTCACCCCCGACGGACGGAGGACTGACAGACTCAGACTCAGAAATAAGAGCAGTGGCGAGGAGACGAGAGATAGTGGGACTAGCAACACGAGCGCGGTCAGACTCAGGGTCAGGGATGGCAGGAAGAGAGGACTCAGGAGGATCAAGAAGAGGAACACGCAGTGGAACAGAGGAAGGAAGAAGTGCCATAGCGTGTGTGCCGAGGACAGGAGGAGGACACGGACGAGGAACGCGACGACCAGTGCGAACAGGCAAGGCAGGACGAGACTGAGGCTCCCGACGCTCTGTAAGACCTCCGGTCTTCTCAGTGTAGGGAGAAGGAGCAGGCAGTGGGGAGGCAGGTTGCAGTGGCGGCTGCGACTAGTCAGGGGGTGGACACAGGAAAGGAGGAGGAAGAAGGCTAGGAGAGGACAGCCTAAGGAAGACGCAAGGAATCCCGCGATCGGAGAGCTTGTCTGCGGATGTATCGCGGACAAAGGCACGAGAACCCCAGTCCCGGAACACTGACGCATCGCCAACCTTCCCCGTCCAACGTAGTGTGGGGGAAGTCTCTTGCAAGGAGACATGGGGCCAGAGGTTGAGCTGATGCGCAGCATACCAGACCGCAAACGGCCACAGAAAATGGGGAGCTGCCGCATGGACCATGGAGGTATGAGCCACCTCCATGACCAAGCCAATGCGGCGCTCAGCAATCCCATTTTGCTGAGGAGAGGCCGGAAGCGTGAACGACACGAGAATGCCCTCCCCACGACAAAAGTCCCGCAAGAGGTCGGAGGAGAACTCACCACCTCTGTCAGAGTGCAGACGCAGGACAGGAAGGTCCTGGCAAAACCGCTCGCGGAGCTGGAGACAAACTGCACGGATCCAAGGGATCAAGACATCAGGGACCTCACCCTTGCTGCGCAAGGGGAAGACCGTGGTGTAACACGTGTAGTCGTCGACAACCAGCAGAAAGTAACGCTCGCGGCCCTGTCCAGTGATGCGGGCTGGGCCCCACACGACCATGTGGAGGGTCTGCAGGGGAGCAGTCGTCAGGGGAAACGAGGAGAAGTGAGGAGCGGTGCGCTGCCGCCCCTCGACGCAAGGAAGGCAGGGCGGGGAAGGCGAGGGGGGGAGGAGAGGCAGAGACCTAGGAAGTGTCCGAATATATTTTATATATATTGCTGTATAACTGCATATAGTTATACCTGTAGTGTAGTTATTGTTATAGTTCCTGTAGGTGGTGCACCCTTTGCCATCTCTCGCTCCTATATCTTGTACTTTCTTCTCTTAGTGAACCACCTTTCCTATCTCACTTTTTACTCTCGACAATTGCCTAGCCTAAACACTAGCATGGCTCCTAAGCTTTCCCCTCCCTACTAAGCTACGTATTCTAACATGCTATCAGAGTAGGTCGCTTCTAGAACCTAATGTTCATGGGCCCACCACCTACTGCCCTCCTAGCCTAGGCCCCGGCCCGTCGCCCCTAGCCCCTAGGCTCGGCCCCTTGGCCCCGTCGCCCCTAGTCGTGGCCCCTAGGCCCCGTCGCCTCGGCCCCTTGGCCCCGTCGCCTCGCCCCCTTGGCCCCGTCGCCCCTAGCCGTGGCCCCTAGGCCGCGTCGCCCCCAACTGCGGCCCCTCGCGACCCTATGCCCGTCGCCCCGTCGCTTCTGCCCCTTGGCCTTGTCACCCCTAGCCGCGGCCCCTAGGCCCCGTCGCCCCCACCTGCGGCCCCTCGCGACCCTAGGCCCCGTCGCCTCGGCACCGGTGCCCCGTCGCTCCTAGTCGCGGCCCCCAGGCCCCATCGCCCCCCAACTGCGGCCCCTCGCGACCCTAGGCCCGTCGCCCCGTCGCCTCGGCCCCTTGGCCCCGTCACCCCTAGCTGCGGCCCCTAGGCCCCGTCGCCCCCAGCTGCGGCCCCTAGCGACCCTAGGCCCCGTCGCCCCTAGCTGCGGCCCTCGTCGACCCGTTGCCCCGTCGCCCCTAGCTATGGCCCCTCGCGACCTGCCGCCCCTAACCGCGGCCCCGTCGCCTCTAGCCTCGGCCCCTCGCAACCTGTCGCCCCTAGCCGCGGCCCCGGTGCCCTGTCGCATCATGGAGGGTAAGGGGGTGGCAAGAGGGGTGACGGTTTCTTCCTGCCCGCGTGCCCTGCAGTCGCACGTGCAGCTCCGCCCCTGCCCCCCTCCCCCCCCTCCATGGGGACGGGGGGGAGAGGGTGTGAGGGGGTGGCGGATGTGCCTCAGCAGCAGCAGCTGCTGCCACGCCTCCTCCTCTCTCTCTCCCTGCCGCACCTTGTGTTCGGAGGGGGGGGGGAGCTTGGAGGTTCAGGGGGAGGCAGGAGGGGATCTGCAGCACCAGCCCCCCCCGCCCCCCCTTTCTCCTCTATCCCTGGGGGGTGAAGGATTGTGGAGCAGCAGTGGGGGGGAGGGGATCTGCAGCACCAGCCCCCCCCACCCCCCCCTTCTCCTACCTCCCCCTGCTGCGGGTGCAGCAGTGGGGGGGAGGGGATCTGCAGCACCAACCCCCCCCGTCCCCCCCCTTTTCCTTCATCCCTGGGAGGTGACGGATAGTGGAGCAGCAGTGGGGGAGAGGGGATTTGCAGCATCAGCCCCCCCCCCCGCCCCCCCTTCTCCTCTCTCTCTCTCCCTGCCGCACCTTGTGTTGGGAGGGGGGGAGGAGCTTGGATGTTAAGGGGGTGGCAAGAGGGGATCTGCAGCACCAGCCCCCCTGCCCCCCCCCCCCCCCCCCCTCCCCCCGCCCAGCGCCCTACCTGCGCTGCTGGCAAGCGCCCTGTCTGCGCTGCTGCGCTGCCGTCTGCTCCTTACCAGCGCTGCTCGTGCACTACCCCTGCTGCGTGCACTGGTTTCACTGCCACTCAGCAACTGCTGCTGCCGCCCTTGCCTTGCTGTAGAGGCTACTGCCACTACAGCCCCTTGCTGCTGCCGCTACAGCCCTTGCTGCTGCCGCTACAGCCCCTGCTGCTGCCGCTACAGCCCTTGCTGTTGCCGCTACAGCCCTTGCTGCTGCCGCTACAGCCCTTGCTGCTGCCGCTACAGCCCCTGCTGCTGCCGCTACAGCCCTTGCTGCCGCCGCTACAGCCCTTGCTGCCGCCGCTACAGCCCTTGCTGCGGCCGCTACAGCCCTTGCTGTTGCCGCTACAGCCCTTGCTGCTGCCGCTACAGTCCTTGCTGCTGCCGCTACAGCCCTTGCTGCTGCCGCTACAGCCCTTGCTGCTGCCGCTACAGCCCTTGCCGCTGCTGCTACAGACCCTGCTGCTGCCGCTACAGCCCTTGTTGCGGCCGCTACAGCCCTTGCTGTTGCTGTCAAACTTATATCTGCTATGGTCTATTTAGGCTGTAGTGGGGTAGCTCTTAGAGGGTACAACACTAATGTATTTCCTACTTGTACCCATCTCATTTTCTAGTTTATTCATTTTATTTCGTCAATCCTTCTCACATGGTATAGAGCTAGTCTCGAGAATTTTTAAAAAGGGCCCACCACTGAAATTCTTCACTGCCTGCTCGACGCGCGCGTCGCGCCTTCCCTTCGAGGCCCGTCGCGGCCCCTGCGCCTGCCCTTAGAGCCAGCGCCCGCCCCGTAAGGCCCCGTAAGGCCCCCTTTTCCGGCCCCGTAAGGCCCCGTAAGGCCCCGTAAGGCCCCGTAAGGCCCCGTAAGGCCCCTTAAGGCCCCGTTTACGGCCCCGTTTACGGCCCCGTTAGGCCCCGTAAGGCCCCATAAGGCCCCGTTTACGGCCCCGTTTAATGCCCCGTAAGGCCCCGTAAGGCCCCGTAAGGCCCCTTTTACGGCCCCGTTTAAGGCCCCGTAAGGCCCCGTAAGGCCCCGTAAGGCCCCATTTACGGCCCCGTTTAAGGCCCCGTAAGGCCCCGTAAGGCCCCGTAAGGCCCTGTAAGGCCCCGTCAGGCCCCGTAAGGCCCCGTTTACGGCCCCGTTTAAGGCCCCGTAAGGCCCCGTAAGGCCCCGTCAGGCCTCGTTTAAGGCCCCGTAAGGCCCCGTAAGGCCCCGTCAGGCCCCGTCTAAGGCCCCGTTAGGCCCCGTACGGCCCCGTCAGGCCCAGTTCTCGGCCCCGTCAGGCCCTGCCCCGGCCCTTCCCCAACCTGTCGCGGCCCTGCGCCGGCCCTGCTGCAGCCCTGTCGCAGCTCTGCCCCGGCCCTGCTCCTGCACTGCCACGGCCCGGCCCCGGCCCTGCCCCGGACCTGTCGCGGCCTCGCCCCGGCCCTGTCCCGGCCCTGCTCCGACCCTGCCCCGGCCCTGCCCAGGCCCTGCCCCGGCCCTGCCCCGGCCCTGCCCCCTGCCTCGGCCCTGCTCCGACCCTGCCCCGGCCCTGCCCCGGCCCTGCCCCGGCACTGCTCCGGCCCTGCCCCAGCTCTGCCCCGGCCCTGCCCCGACCCTGCCCCGGCCCTGCCCCGGCTCTGCCCCGGCCCTGCCCCGGCCCTGCCCCGGCTCTGCCCCGGCCCTGCCCCGGCCCTGCCCCGGCCCTGCTCCTAAACTGCCCCGGCCCTGGCCCGGCTCTGCCCCGGCCCTGCCCCGGCCCTGCCCCGGCCCTGCTCCTGAACTGCCCCGGCCTTACCCCGGCCCTGCCCCAGCCTCTCCCCTGGTAAGAGCGCCGCGCTGTCGAGCCACACCGCCCTGCCGAGCTGCGCCGCCCTGCCTAGCCTGCTTAGCTGAGATGCACTGCTGCTGCTGCTAGCCTGCTGCTTCTCCTATCATGGCTAGTCTCAATGTTCTTACCTTTGATGCTGAGGGTCGAGCTGTTGACTTTGAGGTCTGGCTAGATGATCTGCAGCTTTTCCTACAGTGCGATAGCAAGGATGGTCTCTCACTGTTCGATCTTACGTCTGGCGCCTCTACTGCCCCTACTGCTGATGCTGACAGTACTGTTTGCTCGCAGTGGCTCACGCGCGATGCTGCTGCTCGTCTTGCTGTGCGCAATCACCTGCCGTCTACTGAGCGCGCGCACTTTAGTCAGTACAAGAGTGCTAGGGCTCTGTACGATGCTGTAGTTGCACGCTACTCCTCTCCTACCACTGCTGCCCTCAGCCGCCTCATGCTGCCGTACCTTTTTCCTGACCTTGCCGCCTTTGCCACAGTTGCTGACCTAGTTGCTCACCTCCGCACTAGTGACGCTCGCTACCGCGCTGCCCTTCCCACTGAGTTTCTTCCCACGAACTCCCCCCCCATGTACATCACCCTTTACTACCTAGTCACCCGCCTCCCTGACTCTCTCTCCTCAGTCAGGGATCACTTTCTCTCCCTTTGCCCTACCGAGCTGACTGTCGACTTGCTAGAGGAGCGCCTTGCTGCAGCTGAGAAGAGTATCTTAGCTGTTGGGGCTTCCCGCGGCGACCGTCGCACCCCCTTCTTTGAGGGGTGTTCCCCTGTCCCCCTTCTCCCCTCTGTTGCCTCTGCTACTGCTGTCGACCTCGTTGGCACTGAGGAGGTCGGCGCTGCGTCTGCCCCTAGTGGGCGACGCCGCACTGGCAAGGGCAAGGGAAGCAAGGGTGGTGGAGGGGGCGGTGGAGGAAGCGGTGGAGGAGGTGGAGGTGGTGGTGGGGGTGGTCCCGGGGGTGGGGGCGTCGGTGGCGGCGGTGGAGGCCGTGGAGGCGGTGGCGGAGGCGGTGGAGGCGGCGGCAGCGGTAGTGGAGGTAGCGGAGGAGGTGGTGCTGGTCGCGGTGCAGCCACGCAGCGTGGAGGCCTTGGTGGCGGCCAGCGTCAGCAGCAGCTGCGCACCCGTGAGACCCCGTCTGTTCAGCAGCTTCGTGAGTGGTACGCTGGGCGTGGGAGGTCTGGGGGTGCAGGTCCCTGCACGTACGTTCTTCGCACAGGCACTCGTAGTGGGGAGGTGTGTGGTCTCCCACACACCACGCAGCGCTGCTTCGGCCGCCTGACTGACGCTTGGCGTACCCTGTTTCCTGACGCTGTTGAGCTTCCTCGTTGGCATGATCTGCTTCTGCAGAATGTGCCTATCTTTGATCTAGACTTTGATGCTATCCTTGCTGCCATGTATGCTCTTGCTGATATTACTGAGGGTGACTGTTACCTGCGTATCCCGCCCGACCCGGGCACTGTGGCTGCTGCTCTAGGTGCTAGTGCGGCTGCTGCTCTAGGTGCTAGTGCGTCTGCTGCTCCAGGTGCTGGTACGTCTCCTCTCTCAGGTACTGCACCTACTGAGTCCTTTCACACCTTCACACTTGACTCTGGTGCTTCGCGCTCTTTCTTTAGAGACAGCACCACGCTCACGCCGCTCAGTCGGCCTGTTGCGGTCTCCCTTGCTAGTACTTGCACACTCCTCCACTGTCCTACCGTGTCCTGCGGCCCCGTCGGGCTTGCTGTCGGGACTCCACCTCCCCTCGTTCTCTACGAACCTGGTGAGTGGAGCTGACCTCCAGGACGCGTGGGTTGACCAGTTCACCCCTGGAGGTCAGCGTGTGACCCACTGCACTTGCTCTCGGACGGGCCGTCACCTGGCCACGTTCACCAGGGTCGAGTCTGTACACACTGACTACTGCGCCTCCTCCGGTCTCAGCGTCTGGTCAGGTAGCTGCGTCCAGTCAGGTGTTTGCTGCCGCGTCCAGGTCTAGTCCTGCGTCTGCCCCCTGCTCGTGTCGTCCTTTGGCACACGAGACTCTCCTTTGGCACCACCGCCTTGGTCACCCCTCCCTGCCTCGTCTTCGAGGTATGGCCTCCCGTGCCCTTGTCTCGGGTCGACCCAGGTCCCTCCCTCCCCTTCCTCCGGGGCCTGCCCCCACCTGTGTTCCTTGTGTCGAGGGCCGGCAGCGCGCCGCCCCTCACTCCTCCTCGTTTCCTCCGACTGAGGCCCCTCTGCAGACTCTTCACATGGACGTGTGGGGCCCAGCCCGCGTCCGTGGACAGGGTCACGAGCGCTACTTCCTCCTGGTCGTTGACGACTACTCGCGTTACACCACAGTCTTCCCCTTGCGCAGCAAGGGTGAGGTCACTGAGGTGTTGATCGTTTGGATCCGCGGTGCTCGTCGCCAGCTCAGTGAGAGTTTCGGCTCAGACCTTCCTGTTCTGCACCTGCACTCGGACAGAGGCGGGGAGTTTTCCTCCGACCTCCTGAGGGCCTTCTGTCGTTCGGAGGGCATTCGCCAGACGTTCACGCTTCCGGCCTCCCCGCAGCAAAATGGGATTGCTGAGCGCCGCATTGGCATGGTCATGGACGTCGCTCGTACGTCCATGATCCATGCGGCTGCTCCCCATTTTCTGTGGCCGTTCGCGGTTCAGTACGCGGCGCATCAGATCAACCTTCAGCCTCGTGTCTCCTTGCCGGAGACCACACCTACTCTGCGGTGGACGGGGAAGGTTGGCGATGCGTCCGCGTTTCGTGTCTGGGGATCTCGAGCTTTTGTCCGCGATACTACTGCGGACAAGCTGTCCTCCCGTGCCGTTCCCTGTGTCTTCCTTGGCTTCCCTCCTGACGCACCCGGGTGGCAGTTCTACCACCCCACCTCGCGTCGTGTTCTGTCCTCTCAGGACGTCACGTTCGACGAGTCGGTGTCGTACTACCATCTCTTTCCCTACCGCACTGCCTCTCCCCCCCCCCCGCCGCTCTTCCTCGCACCAGGTACTCCCCTGGTAGACCCCCTCCCCCCCCAGGGTCCTGCCCCCTCAGGTGTGTCCCAGGTAGACCCTGCCGAGCCGGTCGAGGTAGCTCTCGACTCAGGTGCTGCTAGGGGTGCTGAGACTGGGGGTGCTGAGACTGGGGGTGCTGAGTCTGGAGGTGCTCTAGGTGTCCCGTCGTGGCGGGAGCCCCTCTCTCCACAGCGGCTTCGTGAGTGGTACTCTCGGCGCTATCGAGGTGCTGCTGGTGCTGGAGCTGCTGGAGGTGCTGGAGGTGCGACTGGAGCTACTGGAGGTGCTGGCGCTGCTGGAGGTGGTGCTGGTGCTGGAGCTGCTGGAGGTGCTGCTGGTGCTGGAGCTGCTGGAGGTGCTGTTGGTGCTGTAGGTGCTGGAGGTGCTCCTGGAGCTACTGGAGGTGCTGGCGCTCCTGGAGGTGGTGCTGGTGCTGGAGCTACTGGAGGTGCTGCTGGTGCTGGAGCTGCTGGAGGTGCTGGTGCTGCTGGAGGTGGTGCTGCTGCTGGAGCTGCTGGAGGTGCTGCTGGTGCTGGTGCTGGAGCTGCTGGAGGTGCTGCTGGGATTGGAGACCCTGGGGCTGAGGGTACCGGTTCTGTCTCTGCTGTTTCTCGAGGCGCTGCGCGGCCGCGGCCGTACTACGTTCCCCTCCTTCAGCAGGTTCTTGGCTCCCCGCCTTCTCCTGGTCCTCCTCCTCCTTTCCTGAGTCCACCGCCTGTCCAGTCTCAGTCGCAGTTGCAGCCGGCCCCTCCCCTGCCTGGTCCTTCTCCTTACTCTGGTCCGACTAGAGGTCTTACGGAGCGTCGTGAGCCTGAGTCGCGTCCTGTGTCGCCTGCGTCTCGTTCTGCGTTGCCTGTCCGCACTGTTCGCGCTGGTCGTGTTTCGCGTCCACGTCTTCCTCCTGTCCCCGGCAGTCACTCTATGACACTGCGTCCTTCTACTGCTTCACAGCGTGTCCCTCTGCCCTCTCGTCCTGCGTCCTCTCTTCCTGACGGTCCGGACCCGGAGTCTGACTCCCTTCGTGCTGCTAGTCCTACTGTCACGCGCTTTCTGGCCACTGCTGTCACTGACCCTCTGTTTGAGTCTTGTTGCTGAGCTTGTTGACTTTGCTGCAGCCTGTCCCCTAGATTACGCCACTAGTCTTGTTGCTGCGTCTGCGTCTGTCTGTCCTCCGTCCGTCGGGGGTGAGTGTGCTCTTGGCACGGACGTTCTTGAGGACAGACAGGAGGACCTTGAGTGCTTTGCCGCTGCTTCACCTCATCTCGTGTCCATGCTGCTTGCCCCTGAGGGAGACCCGGATGCACTAGACATCGCTCTTACGCAGAGGCGATAGAGGGTCCCTACTCTTCTCAGTGGCAGGCAGCCATGGACGCAGAGATGGCTTCCTGGAAGTCCACAGGCACCTACGTAGACGAGGTTCCCCCACCTGGGGCGAACATTGTCAGTGGCATGTGGATCTTCAGGGTGAAGCGGCCGCCGGGTTCTCCGCCTGCCTTCAAGGCGCGTTACGTTGCACGTGGCTTCAGTCAGCGACAGGGAGTTGACTTCTTTCAGACCTTCTCCCCTACCCCGAAGATGACCACTCTTCGGGTACTGCTGCACGTTGCTGCTCAGCGTGACTACGAGCTCCACTCGCTTGACTTCAGCACAGCCTTCCTACAGGGCAGCCTGCACGAGGAGATCTGGCTGCGCCGCCCACCTGGCTTCACTGGGTCGTTTCCTGCTGGTACCCAGTGGAGCCTCCGGCGGCCAGTCTACGGTCTCCGCCAGGCGCCCCGTGAGTGGCACGACACGCTCAGGACGACTCTTGCTGCTCTTGGTTTTGCTCCTTCCACTGCTGACCCTTCTCTGTTTCTACGCACTGACGCTACTCTGCCGCCGTTCTACGTTCTTGTGTACGTAGACGACCTTGTCTTTGCTACTGCTGACACGGAGGCACTCGCCCACGTGAAGTCCGAGCTGCAGAAGAGACACACGTGCACAGACCTGGGTGAGCTGACAAGCTATCTTGGCTTGCGGATCACCCGGGACAGAGCACAGCGCACCATTACCTTGACTCAGTCACACATGGTGCAGCAGGTCCTTCAGAGCTTCGGCTTCACCTACTCCTCGCCACAGTCCACTCCTCTGCCTACCGGTCACTCGCTCTCAGCTCCACCTTCGGACGAGTCCGTAGAGCCGAGTGGCCCGTATCCAGAGCTTGTGGGCTGCCTCATGTACCTGATGACTTGCACACGACCTGACCTCGCATACCCTCTCAGCCTTCTGGCTCGCTACGTGGCTCCCGGCAGGCACCGAAAGGTGCACTGGGATGCTGCGAAGAGGGTGTTGCGATACTTGTGCAGTACATCGGGCATGGGGCTCGTGCTTGGAGGACGGGCTCGAGTTGTCCTCACTGGTCACGCTGACGCCTCCTGGGTTGACGACTTGGCTACGCATCGGTCGTCACAGGGTTACATCTTCAGCCTTGGCTCCGCGCGCCCTGCTGCCCTGCAGCCCTGTGCGCCCTGCAGCCCTGCGCGCCCTGCTGCCCTGCAGCCCTGTGCGCCCTACTGCCCTGTGCGCCCCGCGCGCCCTGCAGCCCTGCGCGCCACGCGCGCCCTGCTGCCCTGCTGCCCTGTGCGCCCCGCGCGCCCTGCAGCCCTGCTGCGCCCCGCGCGCCCTGCTGCCCTGCTGCCCTGTGTGCCCCGCGCGCCCTGCAGCCCTGTGCGCCCCGCGCGCCCTGCTGCCCTGCTGCCCTGTGTGCCCTGCTGGCCTCCAGCCCTGTGCGCCCTGCTGCCCTCTGCACTCGCCATGCACAGCCCCCCCCCCCCCCCCCCCCCCCCCCCCCCCTCCTTCTCCTCCCTCTCCCTGCTGCACGTGCAGCAGTTTGGGTGGGTAAGGGGGGGAGGGGAGGGGAGGTTGTGAGGGGGAGGTTGCACCTACAGAGCCAACCTGCCTCCTCTCTCTCACAGCAGCACCTGCTGCTGTGGGAGGGAGTGTGAAGTGGTGGGGAGGCTCAGGGGATGTGGGTGGTGGATGACACAGCTGCAGCAACTGCTGCCACGCCTCCTCCTCTCTCTCCTCACTGCTGCTGCTACTGCTGTGCGGGGGGAGGTTGAGGGGGTGCCGTGAGTCCAGCTGCAGCATCAGCCGCCTCCTCCTTATTTGCCCTCTCCTTCCGCTGCGCAGGGTGTACCCTTCAGGGGGTGTTCTGCACATGGCTATTCCTGCATGCAGTTAGGGGTTGTGTCGGAATGTATTTTATATATATTGCTGTATAACTGCATATAGTTATAGCTGTAGTAAAGTTACTGTTATAGTTCCTATAGGTGGTGCACCCTTTGCCATCTCTCGCTCCTATATCTTGTACTTTCTTCTCTTAGTGAACCACCTTTCCTATCTCACTTTTTACTCTCGATAATTGCCTAGCCTAAACACTAGCATGGCTCCTAAGCTTTCCCCTCCCTACTAAGCTACGTATTCTAACAGGAAGACCAGAGACAAGGAGGCGAGAGTGCATGCCACGTAGGCGTGGCAGGGAGGGGTGACCAAGGCGGTGGTGCCAGAGGAGAGTCTGGTGCGATAGAAGGCGACACGAGCAAGGGGGTGCTACCGGACCTTACGCGGACACCTGGGCAGACGCAGCTACCTGAGGAGGCTCGGTAGCCAGTGTGGACAGACTCGACCCTGGCCGACGCGTGAACGTGGCCAGGTGACGACCGGTCCGTGTACACGTGCAGATCGACACACGCTGGCCCCCAGGAGTGGTGGTATTGACAATTGAATCCTAGAGGGCAGCTGTACTCACCAGGTTCGTAGAGAACGAGGGGAGGTAAAGACCTGACAGTGAGCCGGACGGAACCGCCGGACACGGAAGGACAGTGGAGGAACGGGCAACGACCGGGCCCCCGGAGGGGTCAGCCAGTCTGGCAGGGACAGGTGCAGGGAGAGGAGTGAGGGTGGTGCTGTCATGAAAGAAACAGCGTGAGGCACCTGAGTCCAGTGTGAAGGTGTGCAAGGCCTCAGCAGGCGTAGTACCAGGGAGAGAAGACTCACCAGCACCTAGAGCAGCAGCCTCTATACCTATGTCAGGTGGCACACACCGGTAACAGTCACCCTCAGCACTAGCAGACAACGCATACATAGCAGAAAGAATAGCATCATAGTCTAGGTCAAAGATCGCAACACCAGACCTAAGCAACTCTGCCCAGTGGGGGCACTCGACCTCATCACCAAACTCAGCACGCCACGCATCGTCGAGACGAGAGAAGCAGCGGTGCTGCGTGTGCGCCTTCCCGCATGTCTGACCAGCACGGTCACCCGTGCGAATGACATACGGGCAGCTCACATTACCCCCAGACGCCCCACGCTGAAACAACCACTCACAAAGCTACTGGGGCGACGAGGACTCGCTCCGATGCTGCTGCCGCTGCCTCTGGCCTCCTCTAGTACCTCCACGCTGCGCTCCAGTCCTACCGCCACCACTGCCACCGCCGCCACTACTGCCACTCCCACCGCTGCCTCCACCGCCGCCACCAACGCCCCCACTCCCTCCACCACTCCCACCGTTGCCACCACCTCCACTGCCTCCACTACCTCCCCCCTACTTCCCCCACCACCACCCCCGCTTCCCCCTCCACCACCCCTGACACCCTTGCCCTTGCTGCTGCAGCGCTTCACACTAGCAGAAGCAGCCCCGACATCCTCAGCACTAAGGATGTCTACAGCAGCAGCAGAGGCGTAGGAGGGGGCAAGGGGGGAGGGGGAGCTTCCCTCAAAGAAGGGCATGCGTGGAGTGCCACGAGCGGCACCTACAGCTACTGCACTAGTCTCAGCTGCAAGGAGGTGCTGCTCGAGTAGGTCAACAGTGAGGGAGGTGGGGTCAAGGGAGAGAAAGTGGTCCCTGACACAGCGAAGAGAGTCAGGAAGGCGGGTGACTATGAAGTAGAGGGTGATGAACATCGGGGGCTGGTTCCTGTCAAGGAACTCAGCAGGGTCGGCAGCGCGGTAGCGAGCGTCGCTAGTGCAAAGGTGGGAAACCAGGTCCTCGACTGTGGCAAAGGCGGACAGCTCGGGGAACAGGTAGGGCAGTAGCAGGCGACCTAGAGCAGCAGTGGCAGGCGAGGAGTAGCGAGAGACGACAGCGTCGTACAGTGCCTGTGCTGTCCTGTGCTGTCCGAAGTGAGCGTATTCGGCTAACGGGAGGTGGTTGCGAATGGCTAAGCGGGCAGCAGCGTCGCGAGTAAGCCACTGTGAGCGAGTCGCACTGTCAGCTGTGGCGGGAGGGGCGGGAGCAGTGCCAGACGCGAGGTCAAACAAAGAAACACTATCCCGAGAGTCACTCAGTAGGTACAGCTGTAGGTCGTCAAGCCACGTGTCAAACTGGATCGGGCGACCCTCATGATCGAACGCAAGAACGCGGAGAGAAGCCATAGCGGCGCAGCACGTAGGGCGGGCAGAGGCCTAGCAGCGCAGGGAACAGGGCAGACAGCAGGCTGCAGGAGGGGCGGCTCGAGGGCCTAGGGGCGACGGGCCTGGGGGCCAGGAGCAACACGCTGCGGGGCCAAGGGGCGACGGGCCGGAGGCCTAGGGGCTACGGGCCGTGGGGCCGAGAGCGAGGGGGGGGGGGCATGGGGCCAGGGGCGACAGGCCTAGGTGACGGGCCAGGGCGCGCGGGCGAGTGGCTACGGGCCGGGGCGCGCTGGCTAGGGGCGACAGGCCGCGGGGCCTAGGAGAAACGGGCCGGGGGGGGGGGGAGCCTAGGGGCAATGGGCCACGGGGCCTAGGGGCGACGGGCCGGAGGCCTAGGGGCGACGGGCCGGAGGCCTAGGGGCGACGGGGCGTGGGGCCTAGGGGCAACGGGCCCGGGGGCCTAAGGGAAACGGGCCCGGGGGCCTAAGGGCGACTGGCCGCGGGGCCGAGAGAGAGGGGCCGGGGTGCGCAGGCGAGGGGCGACATGCCGGGGCGTGCGATGGCTAGGAGCGACAGGCCGGGCGCGTAGGCTAGGGGCGACGGGCCGGGCTAGAGGCGACAGGTCGGGCCTACGGGCCGAGCTAGGGGCAACGGGTCTAGGGGTGACGGGCCAAGGGGCAACACGAGGGTCGCTAAGGGCAGTGCAGTGGTGGGCCCAAGGAAAAAAAAAAACCGGTCCTAGCGGAGGACCTGCTCTGAAACCATGTCAAGAAAATGAATAAGAATGAATGAACTATGAAACAGTTGGGTACAAGTACTAACCCTTATTGGGTTGTACCCCTTGTGGGCTACCCCACTATAGCCTACAAAAATGTAAGCACTAGAACATTCTGACACTAATTCCTCCCGCTTGACTCCTGGTGGCGTGAACAATCTTTCCACGTGCCTTGGTCGCTCGATTCGTGAGCACTCTCTCAAGCCGAAGTGTTCCAGTTGGCGAGAGCTCAGCTCTCGAAATGTCGGTGCGTGAGCAGCTTTGCTTGTGCTCCGTTCATTATTTGCGTCAACTGCTCAGAACACGTTTGCGGTGCGTGTTCAAAAGCTCCGAACTCGAAGTGCAAGCAGGACCCAATCGGCTCCGTCGATTCCTGTCGGTTTGAGAAGGAGCGAGCTCGAAGCGTGAACAGAAATTTCGAGCTGTGATTGCTCGATCGATCAGTCGAGTCAAACTGAGTCTGACGACTCCCATTGGTCGGAACTAAAAATCCAAATGATCGCTCGATAAAGAACGACTTGCCCCGGCGCTGTAGAAGTCATTTCGAACACACCTCCAAGGTAACAACCGACTAATTGATATACAGAATATTAATTCTGTATTAAGAGTTGGACGTCTAGGAGGTAATTAGCGATTTATGACTTAGATGAAGGCACAAACTGTAACGTAGTCTGAGTGAAATATTCGTATCTATTTTACAGGCCGATCGCTTCGCAAGGCCTCATATTGGTTTTTTGCTTGTCTGAAAATTCAGACTTGGTACAGAAAGTAACAAACAAATCACCCATTTTATGCCATTTTACACTAGAAATCTCATAGTTTTCCCTATTTATTTCCAAAATAACTACCGAAAAACAACATTGGTTCTAAAGAAAATCTGAAATCTTAGCCTATTGTTTGCCTAAGTCAGCCTTTTTTTGCTGACTTCTGAGGCCCTGCCACCAAGTCTATCGCTCCACTTCCACAAACTACCTCGCAAACTCGAGAAAAAATATAGGAAAGTACGGTTGCTCTAATACTAATTGTCATGGGTTGTAAAATGAAAGAGTGCGCGAAATGCAATATTGCAATATTGTCGACGGGGGGCCGAGCACGGGCTAGGGGCAACGGGGCCGGGCGCGGGGCTAGGGGTCGATGGGGGGCCGAGCGCGGGCTAGGGGTCGACGGGCCGGGTGCGAGCTAGGGGTCGACAGGGCCGGGCGCGGGGCTAGGGGTCGACGGGGGCCAGGCGCGGGGCTAGGGGTCGACGGGGCCGGGCGCGGGGCTAGGGGTCGACGGGGGGCGAGCGCGAGGGCTAGGTGCGACAGGGGCCAGGCGCGGGGCTAGGGGTCGACGGGGCCGTGGCGGGGCTAGGGGTTGACGGGGCCGGGCGCGGGGCTTGTCAGAACATTATAGCTTATACATTTGTGTAGGTTGTAGTGGGGTAGCCCATATGGGGTACAACCCAATTAGGGTTAGTACTTGTACCCAACTTTTTGCTAGTTCATTCATTCTCGTTCGTTATTCTGACATGGAATTAGAGCAGGTTCCTTGGGCCCACCACCTGCTACGCAGTAGTACCCCACCTAGGCACGTCGACCCTAGCCCGCGCGCCCGGCCCCGTTCCTAGCCCGCGCCCGGCCCCGTCGGCCCCTAGCCTCGCGCCCGGCCCCGTCCCTAGCCCGCGCCCGGCCCCGTCCCTAGCCGCGCCCGGCCCCGTACCTAGCCCGCGCTCGACCCCGTACCTAGTCTGCGCCCG